GATAACTCAAGCGATCTGCATTCAAATTCCCCGATGGCCCCATTTTTGAACTCTGAGGTCTCCAAAACTTTGACGGACTTTCCGGGAACGTAGCAAACTTCTGTCAACGTCTTCTAGTGTGAACAGTAGGACCTGTACAACTTGGCTGTCCACTGATCGGCTGGTAGGAACTTAGACTGGAGAAAAGCCCAGGCTTACAGAGTTGCATCAGGGCGCCGAAATCCACAGAATGCCGATTCGGGTTCTCACACTTCCCGAATAAACCGCACACCGCTGGTCGGCGCCCCTGCACGGTGCAGTGGTCCCGGTTCCATGGCTCAACGGATGCGATGTACGGAGTACATACTGACCATCCGCAAGACATCAGGGGCAGATTCCTATGAGCTCCAGCCGCTGGGGCAGTGTCAGACGCAATTGGGTAGTTGCTTGTCATTCCTTGTGTTCCTGGTCCCTATTCTAGCACCATACGACGAAGATCTCCAACAAAAACCGGGTATGGAATGCAGAAAGAATTTGAGAAAGAAACATCCACTGTACCGGGTCTCCGCGATTACTCCATCCCATCGCCTTCGCCGTCGCCTCACCACCTCTGAGCTCTGGCATCTCACCAGCCGTGCCAGCTCAACCCACAGTCCGTGGGCATGAAGTCGTGATGGCAGAGTCTAGGATGACTAGCATGTGGCCCAGTCGCAGGGTCTGAAACAGACCCCTGTCTGTCATAATTCACGATGCACCCCGCTAGACATGGGATCCCGGAAAGCTGACCGCTCCATATTTGATGTGTTTGGCAACGGTCTTTCAGGAGAAGAAGGAATGCGACATTCTCGCCTTGCCGCTTTCGAAGTAATGATGTGTAAAATGACTTTCAGAGAGGGTTACATAGACGATTAGGGGGCGTTCATTATGCACATGGGTAGATATACCAATCGAGCTAGTAGGGCTTGGTGATTTTCGCCAAGAAGTGGCAAAGACCAACAAGGACTCTCTTGCCATGGGAGGTAAGAAAGATCAGGGCCCGTCTGACGCAGTTCATTCAATGATCCAACGCGTCCCGTATCTGTTGATGGGCACCCGCCCACAAATCGAAACAAACCCTGCCGCCAGCTAACTTCCCAGAACCTGGTTTTGTCTTCGATGAAATGGAAACAATAACGTACGCCGGGATGTCGGCAGATGTGGCACAGATTCGGGGCCTTTTGGATCAAAAGATGAAAGAGCCTTGAATATGTTGTCGCAGCGCCACATGTGGCGCTGCCGGTTACTGCCGTACGATACCGCTTTCCACAAGCCGATTACCCGTCTTGTACGGTATATAGATATGACCCTCATACGGATCTTCCACTTAGAGGAATCAAGCCACTTTCTACTATACAAGTCTTCCACTTGCTACCTCGCTTTGTGATATAAGTCTTCATGCCAACGGGATTCAGTCATTCATTCCTCCTTCTCCGTCTCTTCTCCTTCCTTCTTTCGTCTTTTCGAATTCCGTCTCCTGCCCTCAAAGCTGGAACTTGAAACCATGAAGTTCTTTGCTTTTATTTTGTTACTTTCGGCGTGGTGTCAAGGCGTGTGGGGTCTGTCCAAAACAGTTGAGACCCCCGCGTCCACGGAGACTCCTCCGTTGTGCGGCGTAAGTCATAGATTCGGCTGGCTGCCGAAGGCCTTTTTGAACTGACATTGAAATAGTTGCAATGCATTCAATCAGTTACTTTGGCGACACAGCTATGCTCGCTTACCAACGCAACTTGCATATGCACAAACGTCGAGCTGAATGATAAGATTTCACTCTGTGTACACTCCAACTGCACTGTTCGGGAGGCACTACGTATGTTGATACTCGCTAATATTGACTGAAGTTTGACATGCTTACAAGATTACTAGAGGTTCAAAGCTACTCCAAGCATACTTGCGGCGCACCGTCACGAGATCGAACTGCCTTAGTATGGGTCACCGGAGTTGTTTTCCTTGTTCTTGGCCTTTTGGCGTTCGTGTTGAGAGTCATGGCCCGACTTTGCTTGGGTGGCCAGTCTTGGGGGCCAGATGACTGGGTTATGTGCATTGCCGTGGTGAGTCAACTCTCCTTGAGCCCTAGGCAAATTGTGGAATTACTAACAGAATGCCAGAGCATGATGATACCATTCAATGCTTTCTCGGTTCCAAGTAAGTCTCTCCAAGTTCAACCAGGATTTTGTGATGCTGACTCGTTGCCAAAAGTCTCACAAGTTGCTCTGGGCAAAGACATTTGGAATGTCCACCCTGACGACGTAACACAATTTCTCTATGTAAGTCTTTTTCTGCACGATTTCTTCAGTATCATGACTGACTTCCGATAACAGCTCTTCTACTGGGACGAGCTTCTCTACATTGGAGCTCTGCCGGTGACCAAAATCTCAATTCTGCTCTTCTATCTCAAAATCTTTCCCAAGAGAGAAATCAGAATTGGTTGCTGGGTCCTTATCGGGCTCAATGTTGCATACTTCATCACGTTCGAGCTCATCTCGATCTTCCAGTGCCGTCCGATCGATGGGGCCTGGAGAGCATGGGACAATGAGTACCCGGCAAAATGCAACAACATCAACGTCCAGGGTTGGGCCGCAGCGATTTTCAACATTCTTTTGGACTTGGCAACATTGATTCTTCCATTGAAAGAATTGTACAATCTTTCGCTGTCCATGAAGAAGAAGCTTATGGTTATTCTCATGTTCAGCGTTGGTTTCTTGTATGCTTGACATCTTTCCTCTTCTGGGGCATCTTGTGCTAACGGATACATAGTGTTACTATCGTGAGTGTAGTACGGTTGCATTCACTAGCCAGCTACGCAACTACCAGCAATGCGACGCGTAAGTTTCCTCTCCACGAAGCCGTGAGAAAGATTCATACTAACATTATTCCAGAGGACTATGTCGAGATCGGATACTGGAGCACTATCGAAGTCCCGGTAGGCATCATTTGTGCCAGCATGCCGGCCATCCGCTCTCTGTTCAGTCTGGTCTTCCCCAAGGTGTTTGGCACCACTCAAAGGGGCAAGTTAAACTACGCCAATCTTTCAAGCCAACAGAAGAATCTTTCCAACTCCCAGAAAGTTTCATCCAAGGGTTCATCGAAACCAGCCATCCAAGTACTCAAGGAGTTCTCGGTTAGGTCGAGACATCGGGACGATGTCTCATACGTCGAGCACGAACTCACGACTGGGCCTTTCACTGACCCCAGTTCACGCCCGTCATCAGAAAAGAAGCCAATTACTCCACATGAGTCTGTGTGAGTATGATGTCATGAGGAATTATACTGGCCGGCGTTCATTTGCCTTTTCTTATTTTCACTCCCTCATTCCTTTTCATGGTTTGGCAATATTTAGACACAGAAGAGGATCGATCCCGCTACCATTTTGTAATTCTGGCAGCATAAAGCTGCACTGAGATACCACATACGAACATAGAACATAAACATAATTCACACCGTCATTACGGAAGTCAAACCTTGCCCTGAGACTTTCCTGCAGTCCGCACTACCCGCCAGGTCAAAGTCCGAGACCCATGCTCCACGCCATCCAAATCTAGTCATGTTTCCTTGGAAATGTTTCTCTTGGTTAGCCCTACCCCAGACCTAGCTGTCGAGCTTACGGATACGCTAAAATCCCGAACGCCACTTGACGGGATGAAAATCCTCTTAATGGCCGTTGACCACTGCGCTAGCCAGTATGAGCGTTGAGCAGAAAACGTAAATGCTCGAGTGGAGCAAAGTCGTTGGAACATGGGTTGTTGTCAAGGGTCTCTCCTCAACGCATTGCCGATCTTTGCCCGTCTATGGCCTTCAAGAGGCTTCATGTCTTTCATTCCTATTTCGCCAAAACTTTCTCTACAGAGCATATCCCTCCGCCAGGGTCCCATTCTCATCTTCCTCCCCTGCGAAATCAATCTTTCTCGAAGGTTTCAGTGGCATGCAGTGGGGGCTATGCCATTTCCATCTTGGGACTTATTGAGGGTCTGGCCCCCCGTTGTATCTGTCATTGCGATCGTCTACCTTGCAGTTTTAGCCCAGCCGGGGGCTAGGAAGCGGTCCGCAGAAAGACTGCCCGCAGCAATGTCTGAGTCAACCTTCCTGCAGAGCCATTGTCAGAGCGCACATCGGCTTCCTCGCGCCCATAACCCTTGTTGATGCCGAAGCATCACGAATTGCACCAATGTCAGTCTAACGATGAAGTTAGTCTCATGTCTGCGTTGCATCGTCAGAATCAAGCCCTTGGCAGCTTTTATGCCAACGGTTGGTCTTGCTCGCAAGAAGCCTAGACAAACTTTCTGCTGCATGATCTAAGGTTTCTCGTGGCATTGCTTCCTTGTCGCTCATGGTTCTCCTCAAGTGACCAAAGTTGGATGCGGAAGCCTGCTCAACCTTGTATTCATTCAGTCCCAAATCAGTCTTCTTGTCCCATTCGCAATCCATGTATTGGAGGGTGGCATCGGCACTGAGAACTAACCCACTTGCCTTCTGCCTTCGTACGAATGAGCAGGGCCTGACACTGACAGGCTTGGGCTTTCCGTATCCATGAGTGCTCCAAAGTTGAGATCCTGGCTCATGGGAGAGGAGAACACAATTGCCCTCATGGCCGTGCCGTGGAGCAGTCCGCCAACCCGAAAAGGAGTCGTCATGGAGGACGATCAACATCAAGACCCGGTATCTTGAAGCGGAGCACGAACACGGCATCTCCTGAGCTTGTCACCTCGGACAATTCCCATCCCCTAAACTGGCAGTCTTCCGATGGGCCTCACTTCCACAAGACAGGGCTTGAATATCAGACCGCCTATCAACACCGCTTAGCTAATGGCTGACCTCTCCTTTCTTTTCCATTCGAGCTGTCTCATCACTGTCGTTGGCCCAGAATATCAAGCTTTCCAACGCGACTCGTCTTCGATCTGACTCGATGTTCTGAGACTTTCGTATCCATCCGACCCATTGTCACTCTCTTTTCACTTCCCAGCAGCCCGTGTTGCCAAGCGCCCAAGATGCGCATTTCACTCCTTTTCACACTCGTTACTGTTTTGGCCGACTCGGCCTCTTCCATGTAAGTGAAAGTCTTCATCGGCAGATTTCTTACTTAGGAACTCAAGAAGCTGACCTTGGCATTAGTGCTGTTCCATGGAAGACTACAAGACAACAACCACGTCATGAGCCCTTCATTGGTCGACGTGCCGCCAACACCACTCTTGATAACTACGACTATGTCGTTGTTGGCTCCGGTCCTGGAGGAGGCCCCGTTGCGGCCAATCTTGCCATTGCCGGCTACAAGGTGTTGCTGATTGATGCCGGAGGAGATTCGGGCGACGCATGGACGGAGAAGATTCCGGCTCTTCATCTTATGTCCACTGAGTTCGAAGACACGAGATGGAACTACTTTGTGAGTTTTTGGCGCGAAGGACTTGCTGGCAAGTGCCTTGACTAATGCCATGTAGGTCAACCACTACCCCGACCTTGACCAACAGAAGAGGGACTCCAAGATGACGTACGAGATGCCCGACGGTAGTTTCTACGTCGGACTTGATCCTCCAGCTGAAGCAACCCCTCTCGGTGTCTGGTACCCTCGCGCCGGAACGTTGGGTGGCTGTTCTCGCCACAACGCTCTTATCACCATCAATGCTCACGATAGCGATTGGTCCAACATTGCCACCCTCACCGGCGATGATACCTGGAGCCCAAGCAACATGCAGTCGTACTTCCAAAAGATTGAGAAGAACTTGTACCTGCCATCCAGCATCATCGGACACGGCTACAGTGGATGGCTTGGTACTTCGCTCACTTCTCTGTCACTCGTAGTCGAAGATCAGAAGCTTCTGTCGTTGATCATCGCAGCTGCTACTGCCATGGGAAAGAGTCTTCTTGGACTGCTGCTCAGCACCGTCGCTGGTCTCGGCCAGGTTCTACTTCGTGATCTGAATGCCCCCGGCCAGACGAGCAAGACTGGATTGTACCAGGTTCCGCTCTCGATGACTGATTCCATTCGTGGTGGTCCCAGAGACTTGATCTTGGATACAGCCAACGCTGTCAACGCTGATGGATCGCGCAAATATCACCTTGATATCAAGCTCGACACTCTGGTATGCCCACTTGATCCAGGGTTCCACGGGTCTTCATTTACTAACAGTGCGTAGGTCACGAAGATTCGATTTGATGAGAGTGGCGACACGCCTCGCGCTGTCGGTGTTGACTTCTTGGAGGGCTCCAGCCTTTACCGTGCCGATCCCCGCTCAGGAGCTGCTTCCTCAACCGGCTCTGGCAGTGTTGATGCTTCCCGTGAAGTCATCATCTCGGCTGGATCCTTCAACACACCACAGCTTTTGAAGCTCAGTGGCATTGGTCCAAAGGCCGAGCTCGACTCCTTCAAGATTCCTGTCGTCGTTGACCTCCCAGGTGTCGGTACCAACATGCAGGACCGATACGAGGCAACTGTGATTGGCAAGACCAACAGCGACTTTGTTATTACTAGCAAGTGTACCTTCTTGGAGACGTCTCCCGATCCTTGCCTCGAGGACTACAAGAACGGACTTGAGCCTATCACAAAGGGCGTGTACGCCACCAACGGCATCGCAATTGCCGTCATTCTCAAGTCCTCTGTCGCCGAGAACGAGCCCGACTTGCTCATCTCCGGTGCCCCGGCCAAGTTCAAGGGCTACTTCACCGGCTACGCCTCCGACTCGCTTGCCGATGCACAGCACTGGGCATGGATCATCCTCAAGGCTCACAGCAGAAACAACGCTGGTACTGTGACTCTGAAGTCGACCGATCCCAGAGACATGCCCCTCATCAACTTCAACTACTACGACACGGGCGTCAACAGCAACGGAGAAGCTGACAAGGATCTTCAGGCTACTTACGAGGGCTTTGAGTTCACCCGAAAGGCCTTTGACAGCCTCATCCCGCTCGACGGAAGCTTCCCCGAAGTCTGGCCTGGTACCAACACCTCCACAGAGGCAGACGCGAAGCAGTTCCTGAAGGACGAGACATGGGGACACCACGCCTCGTGCACTTGTCCCATTGGTGCTGATGATGACCCAATGGCTGTTCTCGATACCAACTTCAAGGTTCGCGGTACCAAGGGCCTCAGAGTCGTTGATGCCAGTGTATTCCCCAAGATTCCCGGATTTTACATTGCTTTGCCTCTGTATATTGTGTCTGAAAAAGCTAGCGACGTCATCATCCAGGAAGCCAAGGTGTCATCGGCTTAAGCACTCCAGAGCCATCCGTAGAATTACAGTAGTTTGTTGCGTTGGGCGCAACTTTGTCCCAACAGCACCCAAGGTTAAATCGGCTCAATATTCTGAATTAATAATTCAAAGATACCATCGTTCATTTCAAAAAGAGAGTTGCAGGGTTATGTGATGAATAGTCGGGGAAGTGACATGCAAGAAGCGGTGTCAGAGAAGAAAAAACGAATGCCACACTCACTATTCATGTTGTTTGTGCCAAAATGACACAGTCATCGTGGATAAGGTCATGACGAGGTTTGGATGATCTGTGATAAATTAATGGTTGCATGGTTTTACATAAAGGTTTTACTACTTGTCGCATTGCCTTTTTGCTTTTCCATGTATTTCGCTGTTCACTCAGTTTCTTGAGTCAAATAATACCTATCCTGAGCTAACATTGACTGACTGCCAACAGAGTACATGGCGTGCGTGACGTCTGGTGCAACAGAAAACCAGAACCATAAAGATGGAGAACAAATCAGATTGTTTGCTGACTGGGAGCATCCTTTCCCGAGTTGCTGTGAAGCTCTACAAACCAAATATTAATGAACCTATAGTTAGTGGCTTATCAGAATTGTTATCAAGGCAATTTAGACCAGTTTCAATGGCTTAAACAGCTTGAGTCATTAATAAGGTCAATTCTAGAGTCGGTGCATCATCCTGCACGTGACTGCTAGTCACAATATAATATTGAAAAGCTTACGGAACCTCATCACCAGAATGTGCCACACTTTGGTGGATCTTGCTCTCCCACTTATCACAGTCCGAGTAACTAAGCTATATACTTTGCTTGACACCGGGACAAATCAGATGCTGTGATTGAGAGTACAATTGATCTAAGCTGAGTGAATTCAAAATTTAAGTTATGAACTACCTAGGTATAACTGGAACTTGAAAGAGAAAGACACGTGTCTCGGCGGAGGAACTTCGGTAATCACAGTGACGAGCTACTGTCCAGTACTCATATACCGGGTTTGCCGGTGCTCTTCAAACGCAACAAAAGGACAGGTCAAGAAGCTTCAGGCGCGTGGTTACGTCTTGCTTGAAAATAAGACCAGGCCCTGTTGGATAGGTAGTTGTGCCGATTGCCAGTGCTGCGGCCTATCTCAGTCTTTTGTACTATGGCACAGTTTTAAACTTGCAGAGAGTATTATGGCTTTAATAATTTTCTCTTCTTCAGCAGCCTGACCGAGGGAGTAGCTTTTAGAAACCCAACTTAATGTTCTCAATCATTGTCATTCTCATAAACTTGGTGCTTCTGGTTGACCCTACACCTAGCTCATGGATGAGGAGACTAGGCCTGATACATGGAGCTTACGTCTCTCGACCGGGCGTGAGTGTTCACATGATTGGCACGATGACCCTTCAGCCACTCCGCTACTCACACGACCATGACCTTACCCAAGGGGGAATAGAATGGGATTGTGGTAGCCGTCGTAAGGAGAGCCGCAAACGATCGACATCAGTGGTTGTCTGCAAGCAGGGTCAACGGACCTGGATTCCTTCATCTTGCAGATGTCCCATGGCGACAATTAGTCAGGAACAGCTCAACAGACTGAGCCTCAGCGGGGCACTTGCACCTAGCATCACACGACATTTCAACACGTCTGCCCTCATCGTATACAGTTGTAGATGTTTCCAAAGATAATCATGTGGCCGTTCAGTGGACTCTTGATCGCTTAGACGTTTTACCTCGGCCAGTGAGAAAGGGTAAGACTTCTTTGGATCCATCAACGGCTAGTAATCAAACCCAGCCAAAAGGCATTTTCAAATGCTCTAATTGTAGGGCAGACCTTTCGATGTCCGAGTTCTAGGATGCTGGAAAGTAGAATACCTCGAACGAGTGACGATCAAATATGTGCCCACAGCGCGAGACCGCACGTCATTAAAGAAGCGGAATAGTAACTAGAGGTCAAGTTGGACAGAGTCGACGGGTCGGTAGACAAGAAACACGAGTTCAAGAAGAAGAAGTTTAGAAAATTTACCAGTTGTCTTTTCGCTTCAATCGTGCAAGCAAGGAACCATTCACTTTCACTCCCCACCCACACTCGCGATGTCGGAACCCGGGAACAGCGCTTCTACCGAGGTTGACCTCGGCTATGGAATGAACACCAAAAAACCTCGATGACTCTGTATAAACCCATTGTGTGATTTTATCTGTACTATGGCATGACACTCACTATCTTGGCCCCGTAACATGAGGTTATGGTTAAAAGCTGCGCGTCCAATTTCCAATCCATGATGAAAAGGGCCGAATAGATCAACGCTTGTGCACTTCCCGCCTCGACCCCAGTTTACAAACAAGAACCCCAAACTCCGCTATCCCATTGACTGCTGCTTAACGTCAGCGGAGCCCTTGTGCGGGGTACAGCCAATAAGGGCATACAGGCTCATCTGTGTCAGCCAATAATTAGGCACGTTTTAAGGTACTTATATTGTCTATATATTTGGGTTATGCCAAAGGTACCAGCAATCTCGGTCGGTACATAACGATACATCGCAATCTAAGCAGCCTTTTCGAGTATACCTTCGCAGCTTTCTAAGATTATTGCCAGATATCTCGCCTAGAGCCTGACGGGATCGTAAGGCTGTTATATTACTACAATAGGAGCAAGGCGAACAGGACTTTCTCGATCCCTTGCGATAGTGCTGCCAAGGAATAGAGGTATTCCTTTTATCTCTTGTTTGCTTAGGTCGTGATCTTTGCCGACCCCCTGCTAATAGTCCAAACTACTGGATAAGCTGGGCTGCAAGTAGTTGCCGCCATTGATACTACTTTTTAATAGATCGCCAACTAGGCTTACCCCAGAGCTGCAGTAGATAGCTATTCATAACGATCACTTCTAGCAGAAAGTCCCAAGCAATTGCCTGCTAGCCCCCTCGCCGGATAGGGTGGCCCCATTGATAATAGGACCTCATCTGGTCACTAATATCAACGCCGTTCATCTTATGATTATACTCGTCTATTAGTGCCGGTACTGACAGGTTCTTCCGGACGTCGGCGCCGAAGACTTTCCGGGCAGCCCGCTTTATAGTAGTATCTCCGGCCGGTCGGCGCCGGCTCTGGATAACATCCTGGCCTTCTCGGAAGACCGTTATCAAGAAGAGTACAATAGCATTGTCTTTCCAGGTAAACTGGTTGACCTAGAAGAACTGATTAGTATAAAAATCCTTAGAAGGTAGTTTTTATAACACTATACCTTCCCATCTAAAGTAAGAATATAATGTATCTTGCCCCAAGGGATATCTTGTCCTTCAGTTGCTTTCTCGGCAACAAGGGTCTTATCTATCCCGCTATCTTTCCGGCAAGTGCTAGAAGCTCCGACTTGCTGCTTCCGGAGAGCCCGGAAGAGCTGGATAGAAGAAGAGGTTATCTAGAAAGACGTGGTAGATTGTTGCCGGAAGTAGGGTAACTAGGGTCGTTAAAACCCGTTGCGTTGGCGTTAAAAGGGCCTGCTTTGCTGCCTCGTTATCCGGCGCTGGCCGGGCCTGTGGGACTAGCCCGTACGGGCCCTTTCCGTGGATATGCCAGAGCCACCGGAGACAGTAGCCTGATTGGGCAAGAATCCATATCTTGAAGCCGGTCGGGATCGGCTTAGTCGGGATTGTTGTTGTCTCAAGGGACCGGCCTGTGAATCGGACCATAGCCTCGTCAACGGTAAGGTCAGAGCCGGCCGTATAGAAGGAGTCCCCGGTATCCTAGATATGGGCCGACCACCCGTTAACCTTCCGATACGTATCCGGCATTGGATTTTCCTAGGGCCGGCGTCGGTACCGGCCATAGCTAGACTGACTAGGGAACTCAGAGGTATCGAATATCCGCAGCTGCCGGGATAGTCTTTGGTAACGGTTACGGGATATAAACCGGGTAAATAGATGAATAGGGTCCTCTTTCTCTTGCTGAGTTGCCCAGTATCTTGATAATTCATATTCCTTATGGATTCCCATATAAATACGGATTCCTAAGAAGAGGTATACCTCTTCTATAGAGGTCTTTTTCCACTTATACACTCTTGAGTATCTAGGCTGAGGGCCCTCCTTAGAAATCGGCGCTGCATTTGTCCACCGGACCCACTGCTCAACAAGGCTCCGGGGAACGTATCGGAGGAAAAGGTTAATCGGCGTTTCCGGTAGGTCCTGTATTTGCTGGTCCCGGGCCGGTATATCAAAGGGTATAAAGGAGCCGGGCAAGCCAGGCTCAGCCGGAGGCTCATAGGGCCGGACTGTGCTATTATCGCACTTCTCCGGGGTACAGTCGGCAGTATAGCCGACTTTAAGGTCTTCGGGAAGGAGCTCAACAAATATACAGCTCCGTACAGAGGTATCGGTAGCTACAGAGGCATCGGAAGCATCAGAATCACTGGAAGACATCGTAACATTGGTTGAGATAATGGTTTTGGTGGTGATAGAAGTCAAAAAAACATAGGGGTAAATGATGTTTCGTCTTGTACAGATTGAAGTGCGGGGTAAAAGCGGGTATTAATATGGGTCCGGCTCCGCTGACGTTAAGCAGCAGTCAATGGGATAACCATCATGGGAACAGCATCGGATTCCGAAGGAGCCTCAAGGACAAAAAAGAGTGGAAAGCTGCGTGACAGGCAAACATCAGTCAAGGTCCCCGCATGGCAGCCCAGGCTCCAGCTGAGGGCTGACAAACCCTGAGAGGCGGTAGAGGTCTAGTTCTCCAATACTTGCATGGCCAACTCCACAAAACTCAACTGTTTCCCCATGGGTGTGGTCTGCTTGGGAGGAGTGGCACAGTGATTTGATGGGGCCTGGATATCCCACAAATTGCTGTATACAGTAGTCTACTAGTATTCGAATGCCGGTGTTCTCCCCGGGTGTGGAATTATCATGACGTAGGCGCCGCTCACGAGACCTCCCGCACCGGGACACTGGGACTGTCGGGAGACTGGAGTCGGGCACGCAGAATGTTTGCCATGTTCGGCATCGTGAACGGCTTCTCTCCCATGGATGAAGACGGACTCTTGGCGTTAAGACCGGACCCCGCGCTAATCGGCCGATTAACCTGCTCAATAACCGTAGTTTTACCGGCGGCAGGCTGTTCGAGTTCTCTATGACATGTTCCACGGGCCACGAGGCTCGGTTTTCAGTGTAAATCATGACCCGAGGGCGAAGAACAGGGCCGATTAGATGTGCGGGGAAACCGGGGACAGAGTATTGTTTCTCTCCGATTTGGGTCGACCGGTTCCACGGCCTTGGCCCTCGTCGTCCCCTCAATTATGTGTGATCATGAAGAGATTCCCCTAAAGAGCTACTCCAACCGCCATCATGAAGAAATTTCAAAGAAAAAAACCTGCGTCTCTAGACCTCTAGTGTCGGCGCAATGTCGGACCTCCACACAAACTCGTGTGTCCCAGTGGTCCACTCACCTTCACGGCGGGGGCGGGGTGGCCGGGATCAAGCCGGGGGCGGTTCTTCTGCCTCGTGGAAAGCCGGTACGGAGTAAGCTTTGGGTGAGGTGAGTGAGTGTCCGGACCGGGGGTTCGCTCAGAAAACAAAAGCTTGGAGTCTCCAGGTTTTCCAGCTGTCACCCGATCCGCATCCCCTACATATTGGCTCGTGTTCCCTGTCCAGCCCACAGCGGCAGTTCTCCGGAAGTTAACTTTGAATGCTACGGCGGAAACACCTACAGTCAGGCGCGCCATGTGTAAATATTACTCGATTATACTCTGTAGACTTCGCCCATCGGTAAAGCGACCCCATGTTGACAGCCAGCAGTCGGCCTGATGCGGAGTTATCGCTGGTAGTTCTGGAAGCCGGGCGGTGAAGAGAGCTAAGACCTGTCGAAAGAGTCGATGGCTTTAGAGGCCCAATGACTTGATCTTCCCGCTTAACAGCTGTTCCAGCGATTCTATGACTAGTCATACCCGCCGTTAATGAGAATTACACCCCACAACCCATATGACGATGTGTGGCCACCTCTAATCAGACTGGGGACTCGGCAAGATTCCGCCTCCCCACGTGTATAGCAGAGCCTTTTCCGGTCCTCGCCGTCGGTTTGGCAACCATCTAGAGACTAGGCCTAGTGTAGTCATCGCGTGCGTTTCTTGGAAATCTACGGCTGATTACCCTGCCCAATATCCCACACTTCGCGCCTTAGTGAGCACCTCTCGGGTGTCAACCGGTGCGGGGCCGACTTCCGGACCATGACGATGTGCATTGCCAATGGGAGCTCGATCATGATCAGGTTTTCCCCGACTTTCTCATTGCCCGCGCGGAGGTTACGGGGAGAGGAGGGGTCTATCCAGGTCACCGGCTAGCAGAGTGCGAGGGCGACGAGGATATGGTGGACTGACGTTACGGCCGACGATGAACAGGTAACATATAAAGGACGGCATGTAACCCCCAATCGATGAGCTTCTTGGGATCTTCAGCACAAGCCGCCAGTCAACAGCTCAAGGATTTCACAATGTCCGCAGCTTTGTCTCTCTTCCTATCCGGCCTTCTGTTGGCACCCTCAGTCAACGCTCAGGCGTATGACTCTGGTGACCGATCTGAAGATGCCTTCAGCTGGATTCAGCCAGCGAACACCACCATCCTCGGTCCTTACGGGGACTCTGAGCCCGTCTACCCTTCTCGTGAGTTTCTCCAGTCAGATGACTTGAGGTTCAAAAACATCTAACTCTTTGTGAAGCCAACATCACTGGTACCGGTTGGGAGGATGCCCTCGCTAAGGCAAGGGAGTTTGTCTCTCAACTGACTGTTGAGGAGAAGGCTGATATGGTCACCGGTCAGCCCGGTCCTTGCGTCGGAAATATCGTCGCTATCCCTCGTCTCGGTTTCCAGGGTCTCTGCCTCCAGGATGGCCCCCTGTCCATCCGTGTTGCCGACTACGCCAGTGTCTTTTCCGCAGGTGTCTCTGCTGCAGCTACCTGGGACAGAGATATCCTCTACGAGAGAGGTCTTGCCATGGGCAAGGAGTTCAAGGCTAAGGGTGCCCACATTGCCCTCAGGTTCGTTCATCTCTCCCCATTGTGCCCAAGCTCTACTAACCTCCTCAAAGCCCCGTCGCCGGACCCCTCGGCCGCAGTGCCTACTCCGGCAGAAACTGGGAGGGCTTCAGTCCCGACCCGTACCTGACTGGTGTGGCCATGGAGGAAACCATCACCGGTCACCAGGATGCTGGTGTCCAGGCTACTGCTAAGCACTGGATCCTCAACGAGCAGGAGACTATGCGCAACCCGACCTTCGACCCCAATGGCACCTCCACAGACATCGAGGAGCAGGCTCTTTCCTCAAACGTCGATGACAGAACCGCCCACGAGCTCTACATCTGGCCTTTTGCCAACGCCGTCAAGGCTAAGGCCTCCTCCTTCATGTGCTCTTACCAGCGCATCAACGGCTCTTACGGCTGCCAGAACTCCAAGTCCCTGAACGGTCACCTGAAGACTGAGCTCGGATTCGACGGTTATGTTATGTCCGACTGGGGTGCCACCCACACCGGTGTTGCTGCTATTGAGGCCGGTCTTGATATGGATATGCCCGGTGGACTCGGCAAGTACGGCATGGATTGGCCCTCAGGATCTTTCTTCGGCGGCAACGTCACTCTCGCAGTCAACAACGGCACCCTTAACGTCGCCCGCGTCGATGACATGATTGTTCGCATCATGACCCCTTACTACTGGCTCAACCAGGACAAGGAGTACCCCACCGTTGACCCCTCCACCGGCGAGCTCAACACCTTCTCCCCCAGATCCACCTGGGTTCGCGAGTTCAACCTGACTGGCGAGAGCAGCCGTGATGTTCGCGAGAACCACGGTGAGCTGATCCGCAAGCACGGCTCCGCCGCCACTGTCCTCCTCAAGAACGAGAACAAGGCCCTTCCCCTCAAGGCTCCCAAGTCCATCGCCGTCTTTGGTAACGATGCTGGCGAAGATACCCAGGGATTCTACAACCAGGCTGACTTCGAGTACGGCACCCTTGTCGCTGGTGGTGGCTCCGGTACCGGTCGTCTCACCTACCTCGTCACCCCCCTTGAGGCCATCAAGGCTCGTGCCTCCAAGGATGGTGCTCTTGTCCAGCAGTGGCTCAACAACACCCTCATCATCAACTCCAACATCACCGACCTCTGGGTCCCCAAGGCCCCCGAGGTCTGCCTTGTCTTCCTCAAGACCTGGGCTGAGGAGGCCGCCGATCGCCAGCATTTGAGCGTCGACTGGAACGGTGACGACGTCGTCGAGAACGTCGCCAAGAACTGCAACAACACTATTGTCATCACCCACTCCTCCGGCATCAACGACCTCCCCTGGGCCGACCACCCCAACGTCACCGCCATCCTCGCCGCCCACTTCCCCGGCCAGGAGTCCGGCAACTCCCTCGTCGACGTCCTCTACGGCGACGTCAACCCCTCCGCCAGACTCCCCTACACCATCGCCCTGAACGGCACCGACTACAACGCCCCTCCCACCACCGGCATCAACACCACCGGCTGGTACGACTGGCAGAGCTGGTTCGATGAGAAGCTCGAGATCGACTACCGTTACTTCGACGCCCACAACATTTCTGTCCGCTACGAGTTCGGCTTCGGTCTCAGCTACACCACCTTTGAGGTTGCTGACTTCGAGGCCAGCCCCGCCGAGCAGGACATCACCTCCGCCCCTGAGCAGCGCCCCGTCGAGCCCGGTGGAAACCCCGCCCTCTGGGAGACCATCTACAACGCCACCGTTTCCATTACCAACTCTGGCGATGTCGAGGGTGCCGCCGTTCCCCAGCTCTACGTCACCTTCCCCGACTCTACCCCCGCTGGCACTCCTCCCAAGCAGCTTCGCGGTTTCGAGAAGGTTCCCCTGGCCGTCGGCGAGACCAAGAAGGTCGGTTTCGAGCTGATGCGTCGCGATCTCAGCTACTGGGACGTTGTCTCTCAACAGTGGCTAATTCCTGAGGGCGAGTTCACCCTCAGCCTCGGCTGGAGCAGCAGAGACTTGAAGACTACCGCCCAGATCACCCCTGTGCAGGCGTAAATCTTTGATTAATTGGCAGATATTTTGGTGGAGGAATGATACGATGGACGAATTATGACTCTGGATAATATTAGTAATAATGTCTGGATAACAGTAAAATAAATCTTTTTCACGTTCAAATAACTTTGGCTGCCGATAGTGAACATCCCATGCGCGCAGCTCAAAACACTTGAACATCTTGGAATGCATGGTTATTAAATAAAGTAGCCAGTCGTAACGGAACATGCTCTACTTCGTTTAGGTCAACATCGATCCTATTGGACAACGTGTGCTGGAGAGCATCCTTGCAATCAAGAACTCGTGCACGCCTATTAGAGATATGCCCCGTCCTTCGTGACTAGTGTCTACTTGTCCGTTACAGCTCAGCCAATTGCCGGCTGTGTTCATTCGATACTTCCAAGTACGAGCTGCGAGACTGGCCAGACCTACAGCCTACCTCGTCTTTCAAAGTCTTTCTTGCCATAGGTACGCTTAGCAACTGAGCCTCACTGATTTCTGCGGCTGAAACGCGAAGCTACGGGACACTCTCAGCTGAACAGCCTAGTGGGACCAGAGTAAGACAAGGTCCAACCCAATGTGCCGCTAATATGTACAACTGGTCCCTGGGCGCGTTGGCTCAAAAGCAGGAGAGCCTGAAAAAGATGCAGCCGACAATTTTCCCCGTTCTTCAAGCAACCGTCTTGACGTTATCCCCGCATCTCTCACCCTTGACTGTTGATACTCCTGGGAACGAGCTCTCTGTTAGCTCTCTGTCTTCTTCAACTGGCCGATACTGTTCTAAAAGATGACCTAGTAATCGAAATGGCATCAAATGTCGATGGAAACGAAAGCGCGGGCAACGTGAACACCACCGTCCATGAAGGACCGCCGACTACGGATGAGCATGATGGTCATGCTGATAACGGCATGGTTCCAATCAGCGCCTTACATGTGCAAACTTCACTCGGAAAGCGAGCGCCAACAGGACCGATTCCAGAAAGAACTTGGAATTTCTACCTGAATGCCTCCACCGGGCTCCTGTCGTACGAGAATATCCATGATCAACGAAATCAGTGTATACGATCTCGACGAGGGCACTCAATGTCACGATTCGAAGTGCACGACTCAGTAGCCCCCATGTCTGCTCAGGCCACAGGCGGAGGCAGTTAGCCGTATCCAGCCGAATATCGAAGGCTGGCGAAGTTGGACGGAGGGCGCGATATTGAGACCAGTGGCCATAACCCATCAGCCCAACAACTACCCGGAGGATTTACAACTGTGGTAACAAAGGATGCGACAATCAATAATCGCCTGTTTGGTATATCTCGAACATCTGTCAGAGTCTCAGTAGCCCGACGCCTACCGGTCTACATGGTTTTAGGCATTTTCCCCTGCGGCCAACCCAACCCAGTTGAAAAAGTAATGTTTTGTCATCAGCCTAAATATTTATTCCGACAGCTTGGACGGGACATTTTCCGTCTACGCGGTTTCTGGAAGACACTATTTTCCCTCAGACACGTAAAAAGATTCCGGGTATACAAAGTAAGTCTTCTAAGCGCCAAAAGCCTTTGCTAGATAACATTTAATTACCTTATGCAGTGGAGAGTATGTCACTGACCTTTTATGCAGTGTAATGCGCAGAACGGGACTCACGAACGCATCGACCTTGACAAAAACGGCGCTGCAGATTTGCAATTGCTCCTGCATACATACAAGCAATGGCGAGTCCCCGAGAACATTGCACTTGCTTGGGCAGACTGGATTCACCAAGAATTCAACAACGACTCACATGCCGTACTCATTGGAAAGTACTCACTTGAGATTGTGTTGGGCTGGTCTGTCACTAGGATTGTCGTCGTGATTCTCACACCTGTGTTGCTAAGCCTTGTTATCGGACTCTGGTTCAACTCGAAGGACTGGACGGATCTAACCACCATCCAGACCGCTTGGTCTATTGCATCCTATATTGTGACGGCAGGAGGCTGTAAGTATTTTCTGATCTTCTCATTATGTGAGCTTCGAAAGGGACGCGCTAACGGCCTTTAGTCATTGCCGCTCTTCTTGGTATTATGAGCAGTCTCGCGGATAAATAGGTCTTAGACGCAAAGAGCGTCAATGTCATGGCCGATTGACTCTGGAAGATGGTCAAATTTGACTTATATGACTTGGTTCAAATGTTCCTGCTACATCCGGTTGGCTCTGACTATGCTGCAGTCATAGTGTGACATTTTGTGAGGTGGTCAACATAGTTTAATGGTATTATGGGGGAGGCTCGGAGAGGTGGCCCACTTGTCTGTTGCCGATATCAGTAGCATCGCTTTTCCTCAATGCCTACTTTAGACTAACGAGTGAGTTATGTTTATCAGAAGCTTGCTAGCCCCTCCTGAATTCAAGATTGTCGCTTCCGTTGCCTTTGGAATGTGGTCGAGTGCCCTCAAGTAATCTTACACGTGATGCCATTGAAGAGCCGAATATAACGGTGAGCCCCGAATTGATTATATCCATCCCGTCCATGTATTCTCGGCCTGACAAGTAATTCGACAGCTTGGACACAGCTCGCCAGTAAATCAGTGCTCGAGGTAGATGCACGTCTTTTCTGCATGGAACTCTGGGCGGTGAACATATTGATAGGTTGTGGGGCGCAGCTAGTCCAAACGAGACTGTGGCGTCGAAGTTGGAAGCTGAAGCTTATCACCATAACATGCTCGTTACCTAATGAGATGCCGCGGACTTTTCAGTTCTCCACAATTTAGGTTAAGGACGTGTTCGATGTTTGTAACATGGGCTCAATTCGACTGAAGAGGGAAGTGCTGCGGCTGTGCGGCGAGCCCGAGACAAGCTGTGTTTGTTAGTTCAACCCTCAGCTAAGCTACAAGGCAACTAGAGTTCAGCTTCCCGTAATCTTAAACCAGGATTCGACTTGGTTTAAAAGAACTATCTACAACAAATGTCTCCGACTGGATTCCTATTTTGGAATTCGTCCCGCAGTTTCGGGTAATCCGGCCTGCCTCACGGAAACTCTCCAATGGTATCCTGCCAGGATCCAGTTCCCAATGTTGCGAAGCGCGCAGAGACAGCAACATCAGACGATGTCGTCACATCCACATTTTTGGACTATCCGGCCGAAGTAAACTGCTATCTTCGGCGCGGACTTCCCCACGCCTCTGGTAGTCAGGCGACTGGTTGAAATAGTAGGCCCATTTCCCCCTCCCAGCCATCATCACCACCATTGACAGACTGGATCCTCATCGACATTTTGGTTTGGAAGGAGATAACTGTCATATAATCGACATCATGAAAGTTGTCGAGAACAGCGTCTTGGGTGAGAAGCCTTCGAGTGCTCCCGTACCAGAATTTTACAGATCTGCAACGAAGCGCAGAACTTTGGTAAGAGACCAATTCCGCTTGGACGCTGCGCAAAGCCCCCATCAGCATCGTATTGATCCTTCTCAGGCACAAGCCGCATCCTTTCATCTCAAAACACTCTACTTATTCACCAGAAGCGACATCAAGACTGTACTAGCGCCTCAAATCATCTTCATCCTAGCAGCCGTGTTTAGTCGCGAATCCCTCACGACAGCGTTCGATCGAACAAATTGCTCAACTTTTCAAAGGCTACCTCTGGCAATTCTGTGGATATGGCTGAACCTGATCGTGTGCGGTATATCGAATCAGCGACTCGCGGACTCCATCGTCGAAGATGAGCACAACAAGCCCTGGAGGCCACTGGCTGCGAAGCGGTTAACCCCCCCACAAGCCCAGCGACTTCTCCTCGGGATGATACCACTCGTGGTAGCTATGAGCGCAGTACTGGGTGGCTTCAAACCGACGATATCCATGATGACGCTTCTGTGGATGTACAACGATCTTGACGGAAGCAGCATCAACATCTGGGCTCGCAATGCGATCAACACAGGCGGTATCATGTGCTTCAGCGCAGGGGCTTTAGAGGTTCTTTCTGGCGCAGATCTCCTTCCGAAGGCATGGGCTTGGATTGGGGTCACCGGCGCCATCATTGCCACAACAGTTCAAGCGCTGGATTTCCCAGACATGGAAGGAGATAAGGCTAGGGGTCGCAAGACCATTCCGCTGTTATATGGTGAAGGAGTCGCTCGTGGCGGGCTGGCCGTGATGGTTCTGCTGTGGTCTACTGCATGCCCGTTATTTTGGAACCTTCAACCAGCGGTTTGGGCGGCTCCTCTGGGAGTAGGAGTCTTGATGGCTGGACTGACAGTCGTAAGGCGGGACGAGAAGTCCGACGATGTTGTGGCGAAGCTGTGGTGTTTCTGGTTAGCTGTCTTGTACGTCTTACCTCTTTTCGCAGCGTAGGAGGCTTGTCCTCAGCATAGAATAAGAACAAGAACAAGTGTATCTAAGAAAGTCTGGTGTAACCTCAAGCCCCGATAATGGGGAAGGAAGTCCTCCCTACCAGACGGGATGACCTTGAGAGAAGTGAGAATGGTGAGGTTGTTTAATCGCATAGTTCTTGATGTAACGTGAACTTATTCTTGAAAGACTACCGACGGTGTCTCTTTGTGAATATTATTCCCAAACTTGACTGGGCGAGGTGACGTCCACCCAAGATCCCGCATCCGCCACCTTTCCCACATCTATTTTGCTTCCATTCTCAATGTATCTAAGCCTTCTGTCTCCTCCACAGACTCAATTCCAGGAACGCGCCAGTCGCAGCCGCAGGTGCAGCCCCAGGAAGCATTCTCGCATTCGGTGTGGCACTGATCGTAGCGAAGCTTGCCAGAGCTGTCGCAGCGGTAGTTGTAAGGGCGGTACTCGCACCAGAGCTTGGTGAAGGGGCAGACGATTTCGCACTCTCGGGTCTTGAGGACAGTGGCCTCATTCTCGGTGTTGATAGTGTCGACTCCATCTCTCTTGTTGAGGTCCAAGCGGATCTTCTGGGGGTTTATGCTAGGACCGGCGGCGACGCTGACGGCGAAGGCGGCAGCGCCAGTGAGGAAAACTGTGGGGTTACTGTCAGACCTTCTTTTTTTCTCGATGAATTTATAATTGGATTCCAGTGAAATTACCTTGGAATCTCATTTTAGAGATTCTGATGTCTGAAGTTTGGTTGCGGTTGTCGGTGTGAGAAATGGACGGAGGTTATCACAACGGGCAAGGGCGGTGGAAGGTGACTCAGGTGAGGTGCCGAAGGAAGGCATGGGAGTCTTGAGCTATTGGTCGAATATTTAAATGCTCAATGAGTATTCCGTGAAGGCGTTTGAATCCTCCAAACCGTCCAGGATTTTCCACTGACCGCTCTCACTGCCTGTTAAGTCAGGCTATTTGAGTAACGAGGGAAGGAGCAAACCATAGCAACCAAGCCTAGCTGTCTTTGCTCTTTCCTTGGACGAACCCACTTTGAAGATCTTAATCAAGGTATCCTCAGTGCATCAAGTTACAAATGTAATGATGAGGCTGCTCAGTTACCGTACTTTGTTCGCATGCAGATCGTTTGTGGAACATGAAGTAGCCCCTTACTATCAATCATCAGCGCAGACTGAGAGTTGAGACTCAGCTCGTCCGAGATTACAACCTCGAGTTGGAAAAGGCAGAAAGATTGCTTCTGGCAATCTCAGATTGTCTGAGTTGTTGGCGGTCGACTGCACAGAGACCGTGACTACTATAATATGGACATGTCGAGGTTCGAGGGGAATACTGCACCTACGAAACTTGAATGACGGAAGGCAAGATGGAAACGAGCTTGTCTCGCCCCAGATAGATGCTGGCAATTTCTCTTTGTCTATGTCAGTTGCAGATTGACAGTGCAAAGTGTTTGCCAGGCAAGTTCCGAGCAACATCAGACAAACACAACCCATGCAAACAGTGACACTGTCGGATTGGAAGTCCAATTCGGCCGCGAGTAGGGGCAGAGCATGGGCCACCTCGAGGGGGTACACTTAGACCTCGACTACCCACCCAACCTCCGGTTGGAATCTCCCTTCTACTCCTTACGCAGAATCAATCAATACAGAGATATTGATACTTCGTCACCCCCAGGACCCTACGGTTCGAACCAAATTCCCTGTGAAAGGAATACCAACAGTACTCTGCAATCCTTGATTGACATCTCGGTTACCTTTGTGGCCAATCTCTTGTTAAGGGGCACATGCTGTCGAACATGAGCAAGAGAGGGATGACATTAGTTGGTAGAATTGCTTCATGATTCTCATTACTATCATTACTTTATAGCGGAGGTGAGACCCTCCAGGTATCATCAAGCCTTAGATGTTAGAGGCCGTGGCTCTCATTCAAAGACATCAATACAACAGCGTCAGTACTTGCTTCATTTGCGCGACTGGCGATTTCGGCGCTACGCTTTTGGCGCCCCTCCTCGAGACAATCATAGCGCTCTTCCATAAAATTCCCGCTCGTCTCTGCGAAAAATTAGATCAAGAATCATCGCCATCTCGGGCCAACATACCTGATCTGTTCCTGATTATGGCTTTTATCGTTAATCCGATCATCATTACTGTAAATCTGATCATCGTCTGATCCTCCTTGACTTTCTTCATCCACGCTCCGGGCTCGCACAATTCCCTCAAGTTTGAAGTCTGGTATGTCCACCAAGAGACAGCTTCCGCTCCGTGGGAGGTTTCGTGCGCAATCCAGATTGGTCTCATCTACCGTCATTAGGGTACTTTTCCCAGTTGTAGAGGTAACTACGCTCCGGTACGTGTTGAGTTCGATGTTGTTCGAGTTTTCGTTGCTATTATCGTGGTTGACCTTGTTATCGTAGCCTAGGGTAGATGCCTTTTCTTTGATGAAAACTCGTAAGACTGGGATGGATGATCCAACTATTGCAGTAGCCGTTTCCACGGCGGTCCAGATGGTGACATCCTTTCCGTTGACTTAGAGGAAGATATTAGCAACTTGGAAAAAAGTGCTTCATGTTCAAAGGCAGCTGATCAACTCACAAAAGAAGTCACCTTGCTCCAGCTGAACGAGATAGATGCCCTTGATAATGGCACACACGCCTGCCCTATGGATAAAAGTCAGCATAAGGCAGCACAGCAGCATAATGACCTCAACATACAACCAGCCAAGGCTCATAGCAAAGCAAACTCCGAGCTTTTCGTGTTTCCTCAACCGCATTCCCCATATGAGCTTCCATGGGATTATCGCCAACACAAAGTCCATGAAAGCGCACCAGGCTGCGTTGAAGATGCCGTAATTAAGTGTCACCGACTCGTCCCAGCAGGTTCCCTCCATCTGCCTGTTGAAATTCTTCTGCACAGGGGTGCACTTCAGCCATGTCAAGGTTGCGCTGGGAAGCATGACCACTGTCAAGGTCGCAACGGCGAACCAGACGAATACCCTGAACCAGCCGGTCGTGAGCCGAAGGAGAGTCACACCAAACCCGACCTTGCTACCAGTTGAAGCAAAACACGATATTGACGCGCCTACTGAAGTGTATATGGCTATCGTCAAGAGATTGGTCTGTGGAGTGATGTCGTAGTAGTGACGGCCGAAACCTAAGTTGACGCCCATATGGGTGATGATCGACTCGACGAAGAGACAAGTCTATGTCTTCCTGTCAGTTGAGTTGCTAGATAGACAAGGTGCCCCACTGAAGGTTTCGTTCAATCACGTACCCACGAGAATAGGAAGATGTAGTCATCCCACCATAGCTTTTGTCCCCGACTCAACTTCGCGTACACTCGTAGTGCCAAAAAGGCACCGCAGAAGAAGCAGAGGAACCATGTGATCCCCGCTATCAGAGGACCATTGCTCTCAATTGGAGCCATCGCAGCCGCATTTGGATGAGAAGCTTCACGGCCCCGAACTCGAGCAAGTCGAGTTTGGAAGGTCGTCGGAGGGTATGAAGAGAATTCTGCCCAGGAGAGACCAAGGCCTAGAACCAAAGCGACGGGACCCTTTATTGGCTGATCGGCGCAAGTGCCGCTGCAAAGGGATGGTTAGACATTGATCGTCACTAGCTCAGCCTTTGACGATTTAGGGATGGAGAAGTCGTGATGAGATTGGGTAGGTCTCAGTGAGGTGTGTAATGCTAGCGTAAATACGATGTAACGTACACATACCTAGGCCGTTTACTGCGATGCAAACTCTTTGGAATACTTCAACGGATATGACTCGAGCCATGACGTGGTGAGAGTGGTTGGTAAGTGTTTCCGGGTGCATTCGTTATATCGAAACACACTGGGCAGACGGACTTTCGTCTGCCCAAAACAGGAAGCAAAAGCCGGAGCCGCGCCTTGCCCCCTCACGAGCGAACCTCCTCGTTTAAATTTCACCTTGAGGCGCACGGTGGCGGGTTATGAGCATTTCCTTCTCGAGCTGAGGCGGGAGTCGTTGCTTTTCCGCCTTCTCAAGGACACCTTCATCGTGCCGAACGGGGACACCGTTGTCGGAGCTGTCCATTTGGGGAGGCACATATCAGATGACTCTCGGGCGGTCCTCGGTGACTGTTGGATCTCTGAGCAGTCGGCAGAAAAGGTGGATCTGGAAGGCGGTATGGGCACTTACAAACGACCCCTTACATACCACTTCTGAGAGGCCGTGGGCTCTGCCCACAACCTCCTCCTTCCACCTCAAGACGCAGCAATAATAGACCATTATTGACACTTCGTTCCAACCGTACGGTTGCCCTGCTGACGTGTATACCAACAGTGACAGTGCTGAAATGGGTCGATCCAAACATTGTTCCAGACCACAGCACAAGGTTGTAAGATTCGGGGGACGAGCCGATGGCGGGAAATACTATCTATTTTGCCTAGAGCTTATGCAGAGTTGGGATGTGAGAGGCTCATGTTATTGGGCAGCGAGACCGATGCGGCCAGGCGAAGCTCCAGCTCGGTAGGGGCTTCTGATGATCCAGGACGAGCCAGCAAGATGTGAGTCAGTTTTTGGAGAGCAAATCACGCAGCAGCTCTTGCTCCGTGAAACGTCGAAGTACTCTAGGCGTTGCATGTGGCGTCAGGCTTCATTTCGCCATTACTTGTATCGATGTGTCCCCTCAAAACCCCTCTGAGCCCCCTCTTCCCAAGATCATCTGAGCTAGAAATGTTTTTATATCGGGCTCGATTGTCACCGTTGACCGAAGTTCAAGATAATCGCAACATCAACACGAAGTTCGGTACAAATCTGACTTTCTGGCCTGCTGCGTCTCCAACGCTGGTGAGATTGGGCCGAATCCACCGACCACTCATTTGCTTCCATGAAGATTCGAGACGCACACAATCTTGCTGTACAAAGAAAACCCAAATGGTGCTCGGACACAGATCTGCGTCAGCTAATGTGACATCTGTGCAGAGCATCAGATGCCGGCTCGAATGAGAGCACTCACCTCCTCGGTACGGAAAGGTTTTCTTGGCAACATCTCAAACCGCTTCAAGCTCGGTATTGACGTCGAAGTTTAAAAGCGCGATGCAGCCTTACCAAACTTGCCCACCACAACACGTTATTCTTATGTGATGACTTACGCGATCAGGCGGGGGTTTGGCCTCCGCATGAGCTTGAGGCGTCGGACCTCGTCTAGACCCCTCCGAATCTGGTGTTCGAAGCAAACCAGATCGCCAAGACGGGCATAATATCTTCTTGTGGATTCTCCGCTACAACCTAAATGACGAATAGGTAGATGAATCATAAAAGTAGAGTCAGATGTGTTCGGCGAGCGGTGGAGACAGCGGCTATTGAGCTGGCAAATCTGTCATTGAAGTAGGTACCTTGTGGCACGAAGGCACATGCTTCCTTCAAAAATTGAGGCTTCACCAAGGTTCATCCAGTATCTTCGATATTCACTCGTCGAGCCTTACAGGCGATAATCGGACCATTTCCTAGTCGTGAAACATGGTGTTTGGAATGATAATTTCTCACGATGTCCGGACCTCTCTGACACGATTTACCAGCGGGTTACGTCTCACTCTCAGTGATCGATGCAGATCGCCGTATAGGCTCTCGCAGTGCGTGCCGAGATCGAATCTTGACCAGCGCAAGTCACGAAAGAGACAACTTCCCAAATACCAAACCTCCTTTGAAGATCGTAGGCATGGCACGTTTGTTTGTAATACTCCGGAGTGAGAGGTCAGTGATCCAGCGGGGCTTCGGAAGACGGTACGGTCCGCTCAACGGAACCGAGGCCCGTTCACGTCCCGTGAGCCACTTTTCCAGGGCTACGGGCTGTGGATAACAAAGAGGTAAAGGTCCTCGGTTGTATCTGTATTCTAGGTAACATAAGAATGAGTTGGGGAGTTGCCAACTTGCTGTAGTCATGTATTTGTATAGTCCACTTAGCTATGCCATCGCAAATCGCAAGGAAAACAGCACCACTCTAGGTACCTTAGTAGAGCGTATTCCATGGCAAGAAACCATACCTTTCTGATCATCACCCCAATGGCCGTTTGAGACTTCAAGGCCGGCGATGACTAAACAAACGGAAATGGCACTCTGAGGGAAGTGGGGGCTTCGGAGGATGGCTCCGAGCCCGTAGTACCGATGCATCCCGCCGGATGAGCGTTGCGGCCGGACTCGAAAAATTGGCCGCGGTTTTGCTGCATCCTCGATTCGTAATAGCATACCCGTCGCTCTAGTCTGTTCCCGTTACCGGACTTGTAAGCTATGCCGGGTGTGTTTGACGGTTGAACTAGTGAGACGAACGGAAAACTTCTAGCGCTGCCGTCTCTCAGCTAACGCATGTGATGACTCCTAGTTTCTTCCAGTGACGTGTTCAGACGCGCGGAAGCCGTTGCGCCAGTCGAACTTATCAGGCCAACGGTCTTGAAATAGGATGGCAGATGAGAGGCTCGACCGCAGAGTCGCTGTCCTCGGCGATCCCTCAATAGCTCAGTTGGATCCCAGGGGCCTTCAGACCTGTTGCAAATCCGGTGGAGGCATAGGATATAGACCTGACCTGGAGATATTTGTAAATCATAACCGAACACCTAGGTGCTGTTCACGATTCGTGAGCATGCGAGGTTGGTAGGCTTTGGGCATGATACCTGTTGCTGCACGGCAAGGCGGGCAAAGAACGCCAATTGACGAAATGTCAACTCAAGCTAATGGCATCGTTTCTAGACCACCGGAAAGTCCTCATTCATCTAGTCCCTTGCGCAGTGTCACGCAGTCAAGACAAGAGATCCTGCAGGCCTGTCAGCTTCCCCAATTGGCACTGTTCAATCTGGTAGATCTTGTGAACCCGCCCCTGGAAGTGCTCGCAGGATTTCACACTAGCCATGCGCCTTATGAGCAGGGCGAAGTGGGAAGCGTCCTCCGATTCGCAGCAAACTTGGGGGCAGTAGGGGTCAACATGCACATGTGTTTCAAGTCGGACCCTGATTGGAATGTTCGGCTTGCCACATGTAAACTCTTGTTTCCTTCCAACCCCCTCTTGGTCCAGAACCTGCCTAATCACCACCTACTGACATGGTGGAAAGCAGGACAAATGTATCGTGATCTCGAGGCAAGCTGGCGGAGTTCCCCCGTTTCAACCCAGCTGAGCATCTCGCTTGATTCCGTCGCTGTCAGCACCACACAGTTCAGTCGAACGACTGACAGTTCAGTCGAACGACTGAAGATGGGCGAACGGACCAGCACCAGCCGCCCTACTTTTCAGTCTTTCCATCCGCACCTTTTCAGCGTGCTTCTAGCTGTGCAATTCTCTCTCAGCGTTGCGTGCCGTCACGGCTACGACATTGCTGAACCGTGCTCGACAAGGGGAACCGGGAGGCCCCTCCAAGCGACCTAAATTGGGAACTCAATCCTGGCGCCGAGTGATAAGGCGGTCCAATAAGAGAGTGGCCCCTCACGGCCAGGCCACATTTCGATAGCCGGTCTCACTTTTTCTGGCGCAGGCTGATTGAAGATGTGCAGTTCCGTGACAGCCGTTGCGACTCATGTTAAAAGCTAGTTCTTTGGGCCGAACACGTGCCCCATCTCTTTCACACGCTCATAAGGCACGACTGGTGTTAAGAGACAAGTATCTGTAGCCTCAGATGGTTCACTAGTGTGTGTGGTTATCAACTTGAAGTTTACTCTGCATGGCTGGCCTTTGTTAAGGAGAGCATGTTACAGGACGCGCGGCGCGCCAACTTTGGCTTTGAGAGACTCTGCAGAGAACCTCTGCTCTTTAACCGCGAAGTCGACCTTCAGGCTCCTGTAAGTCTGGCGCTGCGCCGTACTTTATGTACTGCGGTCGAATCTCCTCTTTCGTGATAACCTAACTGATCGGGCAAAGCTGCAATCAAGCACTGCCGGGCGCCCACACCGGAAGGTTTAACAAACGGATACTTCCAATGTTCCTAACTTCCCATAACTCATCGGTCCACTTGGCGTTCAGTCCAACACCTAGAATGACGGGGATCATGCAAACAGGCGACAGCCGTGCTAATTAATTCGTTGCCAGAATTGTAACTGTAATGTTAGGGGATGCTTTCCCCTGGCTTTGCCTCAGATCCTTAAAATACTTTCTATTAGTAGCAAATTAAGCTTCGGGTATCGATCTCGAGGCCGAATAAAATCATTGTCCCTCCCATCTCGTCAGCGTCGTGTTCTTGAACGAAACTGTTTACAACATCGAAGTCGCCCGCGCTGACTGACGAACCCCCTTTTTCGAGAGCCGTCCACATCCGTCCTCGCTCCACGCAACCGAAAGCTGAACGCTGACGATCTCGTACCGGCGCGTCCGCGGCGTGGTCAGATTGGGAAATTCAAGCTCGATTTCGATTCTCGTCCCCTGTCAAGTCCCCGGTTTTAACCTGGCCCCCAGCAGATTCCGTGCGAATCGCCCTGCGATTGTCTGGAGGCCGAGGTGACCTTTCTTGCGACGCTGATCGCCCCCGCCACGACTCGTATTTTCGCAGCGAGGAAAAAAGGGCCAAGCGTTCTGTCCTCTTCTTTTCGACTCGCGGTGGTTACGAAATCATGACTTCTCGTCAAAACTGGTAGAAAACACAACGGAAAGCGATCGAGATAACTCGCGCCGTCGCCGCATTACACTCCTTTCCTTTCTTCTCTCGCCATGGCCGTAAACCGGTCCATCTTCCGCCGAGCGCTGGCGGTAGCCGGGTCCGGTGGCGCCGGGCTGGTCCCGTGTCTCGCCGCGCTCGGGCTGGTGCTCCTACAGGTCGGCGCGGCGGTCAATCTCTGGAACTCCCGCGAGCGAGGGCAGTTCAACTTTTCGCCATCTTCGAGCTTAACGATATCCGAGTTTTTGAGGTTTTTGATTGCGACGCTTTTATTGAAACGCGAGGTTCGCAGACGAAATGCCAGCGCCGAATACTCATCGCTGGGCAACGGGTCGGAGGATTTGGATCTTGGCGGTGATGAAGAAGGACGGTCATCTGGCGAGTACGCCGCGGGGAAGCTATCGAGACAAGCTCCACGCATTGGAGGTGCGAGGGCACTCTGGCGTTATGTCTGGGGAGACGCGGACCTGAGGTTCGGACTGATGAGGATTGCTTTACTGCAAATGCTCAGTAACAACTTGGTATGGGACGTCAAAGCGCTTGGCACTTGGCGCCGGCGCAACATTGGATGAGGCAAAAGCTGATATTTTCTTCAAGCTGTTTCTCAACTATTTGGTCACCGATCCAGGCACCGTATCCATCACGAAGAGCGGTATCGCAGTCGCAGCTGCTCTCGTCACGACGCCAGCCCTTGGACTGAGGGGCCCAAAGGCTCGATGGATGGCTTTCTTGATTCAGGTAGGACAACGGCGCAACATTCCATCGACCGCTGTATCGCTAAACAGGAGTAGACGTCAGGCCTGGTCCTCTCCCAATTTTACCCGCAACATCGCACGAGGGCGTCAACATACCAGCTTCCCCTCTACGTCAGCATCGTCGGCCAAGCTAGCTTCAGTGCCTTGTCCGACATTCATAGCGAAAAGCTTTTGAAGGGTACCGACCTGAGCCCGAATGGCGCAAATATTGTGCTGGGAGCCTTTGGTGCGATCCTCAACTTGTTCGTGCATGCGCTTGTGCGACTATACAGCTCCTTCGAACCCACTTTCTTCGGCGGCTACGACAGCAAGGGCTTGTCGGTGGTCTTTTTGACCACTCTGACAGCTTTGGCCAGTACTGCAGCACACAAGAGTAGGTTTTAGACGAAGTTTGACTGTAGACTGTCGAGTGGATTGCTGACGTATCACAGAGGTCGACTCGTGGGTGAGATGGTTCATCAACGACACCACTAGCGTCGTGTTGATGCTTGTGTCCGCACACTTCTTCCTGTCCCGATACAGCATGTTCCTTATACCCGGTACAGCGCTCATCTTCATCGCTTCGCTTGCATACATCAAGTATGCCCCGTTGAAAGAGTACATCAGCTCGTCTCCAGTGGATGACGCCCCGAACACTTTCGCGCCACCTCCCTCCTATAAGGTCACTTGTCTTGATAGAGCACTTTGATGAGGGCAAACTAACACTCCTACAGAAAGCAAAGTTCGGCCTTCTTACACTTTTCAGCTTCCTGGGTGCAGGCATCATCCCCTACGCAACCCTCTCCGAACTCCCGCATACCCCCGAATACCGACTCGTCATGAGAGACGACACCGACGGACACTGCTCGACACCACCGGCGGAAATCATCACGCCCTTCACGGATAAGCAAGAGCCGTACAAGATCTCCACAGGTCCCGGCAACCTCACGGCCTCACCTTTTAGCAACACACTCGCCATGATTCGCTGGAACGCGAAGCGCATGGAGCGCGTGCCCCTCCTCATGAAGTACAAGCCATTCTATCACACCGTTCACATTTCCATGCCGGAGATGATCGAGGACAAGCCCGAAGACTGGCACAACCTCACACACTCCCAATACACGCATCACGAGACGATCTACATGCAAGTCGCCAGGACAATGAAGCTCATCCTCGACGAGCAACCCGATATCGAAGGCCTCATGTACTTCCACTTCGACTCCTGGATCGACCCGATGGCCTGGGTCGACGAGAATCGCGAGTCCATTTGGTTCCCGACATCTCACAACACGCGGCAATTCGAGGGCGACGGCCCGCGGTACATGTGTATGACCGACTGGCAGAAGTTCCCCCAGTGGTGGGGATGGTATCATAAGTGGAACGAGAAGGCCGTCACCGTCAACGGCGAGATTATCCGGATGAACCGCGGTTACACGATCGAGGAAGACGAGTTCTGCGTGGGTTGGTCAGATATTTTCTACATTCCCCGACGATTCTTTGCCGACTTTATCTTCCTGTCATCCGTGTATGGTTGCGCAGACCTGTTCCACGAGGTCGCAATCCCGACGATGCTCAACATTATCGACCGGAGCCGGAGGAGCGAGGAGGCCAAGTTCCAGTCGGTAATTGACCGAATTGGAGATTGCTGGGGAGGTTGCTGCGATGATTCGGCGACGGCCCATGACGTCAAGTGGACAAGGTGTGGTCACAGGTTGAATTACTTGAACCAGGAGGTGATTGATGCGCATTACAGCCGGTTGGACGAGCAAACTGCATGGCTCGGTCAGGCCGAGAGACAAAAGTCTGGAGGTAAGAGGCGTTGAGGGTTTGCTTTTGGGTAACACAGGTCTATGGGAGCATTAAAGTGGATATAGCGGTGTATTTGCTTCTGGCCCCTGTTACATTATATGAGGCGCAAGAAGTATCTAGCATTGAACTGGACATAACCTTATGTGGAGGCAATACTACTGTATTGGATCTGATGATGATGATGGGAAAAGCTGAGCGCTGGCTGGGCTGGATATCTGGGCAAGGTGTAGGTGGGGCAGCTCCGAGATGTGAAGGAGCTGCCTCACGTGACCCACCTGCACCTGCCACACCGCCCCTCAGGCCAGCCACAGTGAAAACTATCGTACATGTGAGAAGCAGGCTCAAATACCGACAATCCCAATTAGTCCTCCGCTGTATCCCATGCTCCGCCTATATCCTCCGTCCTGTGCCTGAGCCAAATAATCCTTTATCCCTTGTTTGTTCGGTCGGGTATAAGGATATCTATATGCTCATTTGCAAGCGATTTTCGTAAGGCCAAGCATTTTGACGAAGTTGGCGTGCTTCTCGTGATTTAACGGCTTCGTGAGTCCGTCAGCAGGCATGTCATGTGTTCGGATAAGTTTGAGGTTGAACAAGCCGTTTTTGACTTGATCGATGATCCACTTGTATCGTAGATCGATGTTCCTGGTTCGCGCCTGGTTTAGTGGATTCGTTACGTTGATCAGCGCGTTGCGGGAATCAGTAAATAGGACCGTAGGACGAGGTTGAGTGCAGCCGAGAAGTCTCAGCAGCTTATGAACCCATTGGACCGAAAGTCCCGTTGGAGTAAGGTTAATGAATTCAGCTTCCGTGGAGCTGGTTGTGACGTAAGTCTGTTTCTTCGACTTCCATATCACTGGGCCACCGGCAAGGATAACGACGTATCCTCCAGTGCTCACTCGGGTAAGGCGACAGTCGCCAAAGGCCGCGTCGCTGGCAGCATGGAGTCCGAGGTCATCAATAGGCATAGAAGCGTCAAAGGTGATGCCGAGGTCGACTGTGCCAGTGAGGTATCTCATGAGGTGCTTGATTGCTGCGAAGTGGTGCTCACCAGGGCGGCTGTTGGCTTCGCAGAGTTTGCTAGTTGCGTAAGTTATATCGGGGCGCGTACCGGTCGAGAGGAAATTAATAGAGCCTGTCATTTGCAAGTACAGCTTGCAACGGTCAGTTTCAACTGGTTCATACTCAACTGGCTACTTGGCGACGATATTGTGATCTATTGGTGTGCGGACTGGATGGAGGTCCACGTATCCGAACTTCTGAAGCATCCTGCGACAGAATTCGGCTTGTGATAGGTGGAGGGTCTTGGCTCTCTTATTGCGACAGACTTCGTAACCTAGGAATCTCTGAACGTCTCCCAGTTCTTTTATGCTGACAAATGACTTAAGGAGATCCTTGACTTTGCGAATAGTGTTCCGGTCTGGAGCAGCGATGACGTTGTCATTAACATATATTAAAACAATGTAGTTGTACTCGTTATGGATAAAAAGGCAGACTTCGCCTTCAATAGCTCGAAAACCGAGGTCAGTCATGTGACCTTTGATCTTGTTGAACCACCATACAGGTGCCATGGGGTGGCCGTAAAGGGCACGCTTGAGGAGGCAGACTTTGTCTCCTTGGCGATAGCCATGGGGCTGCTGGACGTACACCTTGGTATCGTCCGGGATAGAGGCGTGAAGAAAAGCTGTGTCGTAATCGAATAACTCTGCGATGTAGGTCTTGGTTGCAACAACAGCAAAGAAAACACGGATAGAGGTTGCATTAGCGACAGCTGCGTACAATTGTTCAGCGGACCAGTCAGATACCGCGTGGTTGCCACAGACAACCCATCGGGCACGATATCTGCCGTCAGACTTGATATCGCATATCCATTGGCCAGGAAGAACCTTTTCTCCGGTTGGAGGGTCAACGAGTTCCCAGGCTTCGGCTTGCTGTAGCGCCTTGATTTGCTTATCAAAAGCAGGTTGCCACTTGTCCCACTCAGGACCCTCTTTGGCCTGCTTGAAAGTGCGAGGTACGGTTGGACCAGCGAGTGCGGCAGCGGCGATGGCAGATAATACTGGAGGCTGGTTGTCTTCCCACACAACTGTGTCAAGGCTGACATAGGCTTGTTGATAACCATCAGACTTGCCATACGTGTTGCCTCGGAGAGAGCAACCGCTGAAACCGCCCCTCTTCTTGACCCAAGTGCCCTGTGAGTTTCTGACATGCTCACGTGTTGAGGCTCTGTTTGGTTGGCTTGGAGGAGGGCGAGATTGACGAGTTCGTCTAGTTGGTTGTGTTGTAGGTTGAAGATCGTGATCTTCTGTGGCAACTACTATAGTTGCTTCATCTATATCCTGTTGGATAGCTTCTTCGATAGCGTTATCGAAAGATGTATCAGTATCGTGCTGTTGAACAGTTATGTTAGCAGACATCTGCTGATCAATAGGGCTGTCTGGTTCAGGGGTTGGAAGAGGGTTTTGGGTAGTTGCCTCTTCGGCAGACTTGTTGTCAGTGGTTTCGTCCTGGCGGTCAGGAGTGCTGGACGACTTCTGTGCTCCTTCATACTCAACAGATGAGGTGCTGGTATCTGGATCAGCAAAAATGGCATCGTGATCAATGGTTGGGTCATTGTCTTCGTCCTGGTGCTTGCCCTGTTTATAGAAACGAATATCGCGGCAGCGGTATACCTTGTGGCTTTGAGGTACGTAGACGTAGAAGAGATGGCCGTGAAGTGAGTCGTATCTAACGAGATATCCCTTGATGGCTCTTGTCTCCATCTTGTTGGCGCGGGCTGGTTGCAATGACCCCTTGCGGTGGAGATAGGCAACGCAGCCGAAAGTGCGGATATGGTGGATATACGGTACGTGATGGGCTTCGTCAAGATTGAGATCTTTCGCGAGCATCTCGTGGGGGCTGAGATGGCCTGGATTGGTTGCTTTGGGCAACAGGTTGGCAATCGTGATGACTGTGGTGACGGCATAGTCCCAGAGATAATCAGGAAGGTTGGCGTCAATCAGCATGGTTCGGGCCGCCTCTGCAAAAGTCCGGCCAGCTCGCTCTGCCTTTCCATTCATGCTTGGGGTGTCAGCAACAGTCAATTTGACTTTAATGCCTCGTTTGGTGTACAGCTCCTGCGAAAGAGCATTGAAAAGCTCGGTGCCGTTGTTATTTGAAACGCCTTAATCGAAAGGTTGGTCTGGTTTTCGAAGAAGTTGATGAATTCTTCGATACGATCAAGCACTTCGTCAGCAGGCTTGCTCTTGAGCAAGTATCGCCACTGGAAGCCTGTACGCGCGTCGATCATGTGAATTAGATAACGTGACTTTGTATAGGACAAGGGTTCGAATTGTACCAAGTCCATGTGAATGAGATGACCGGGCTGGGCCTCTCGAATGGGGGTTTCTCTGCTGATGAGTTGTTGAGATTTGCCTAGGTGGCAAGCCTCGCAGTGAAAGGTGTCAATTTCTTGTTGAGGAAAAGTTATGCCCACACGACGGCAGGCTTCAACGACCCTGCTCTTGCCCGCGTGGCAAAGTCGCTTGTGCATAAGGTCAAATGTGACTTTGTTGTTATTCTTGCTTACCATAGCAAGGTTAAGGGCCGCGTTAATTTTCGGGCCTTCGTAGTTGTTGGTGACGATAACGGCAACATTGTTATGCCAATCGAGTTTGGCGATCGCGACGTTGTTTCCAATGTGGATAGTGTCGTCGCTGACCTTGTAGCCCTGCTGACGGAGTGTGCCTTGACTCAGCAGGTTGACTGGGCAGTCAGGGCAGTACTGTACATCCTCAATTGACCAGTCGACCACCTTGTTGCTGTCATCTGGATCAACGGCAGTGAAGTAAACCGTGCCGTAACCAGCTGGCGATGCGTACTGACCGTTGGCGACTTCCATGGGTGGCAGTATTGCCTCGGTGAAGGAGGTGAACCAACTGAGGTTGTTGAAAGTGGTTCGCGAGCACCCGGAATCCAGGATAATGTCGTTACGGTTAATTCTGCCCGTTGCTATCGAAGTTGAGCACGGTAAGACTGTATGTCCCATTGTGTTCTGGTGGAGAACGTTCGGCGTAGCCTTGACCGCGACTGCCTTACCCTCCCGGTATTCGGAGGTACAAGTATGAGCAGCAGCTTTCTTGAGTAGGTTCTTACGGTACTTATGGTTGGATGGGATGAGGTCGGGATGGGCGACCTAGCAAGAGGTAGTCGCATGTTTCTTGCCGCAGTGTTGGCAGTCAGGACCATTGTAGTTGTTGTTAGGTCGCTGATTGTTGTTTGAGGTGTTACCGGAGGCCTTGTTGTTGCCGTTGCTGTTGTTTCCAACGGCGACGTAGCCCTTCGCGGCATTGAGTGAAGCAGTCCTTTCGGCATTGGCCTTGAATGTGAGATCGCGTGTGAGATCTTCAAGGGTCTTGGTGTTGTCCTCGACGTACTTGTCGTAAAGTGCTGGATATTCTTGTTGGTATCCGTTGAGTAGGATGAACATGGCTTTCTTGTGCTAAGAGGGGACCAGCTCATCGATACGACGAATGAGATACTGGCCGCGCTGGAGATACTTATGGGTATCTGAGAAGTCCTTGCGCTTGAGGTTACAGAGCTCTCGAACGAGCTCGGCGACGGCATCCTCTGAAATCTTAGGGATGATGGTCTTCAATTTGTTCATGAGAAGGAAGGGGTTGCGGTCAGCCGTCTTGATGTCGTATCCATCAGCGAGGAGACGATCGAGGACTTTGCTGATTGATGCGATGATGATGCCGTACGTTTCAATGCGCTGGCTCTTCCAAGTAGTGAAGGCCACAGCCTGCGCTGGAGTGATAGGATCATCGCGATGGGGTTGAGAGACGTCTTCATCGACGTACTTCTCGTAATCGAGAGTCTCAAGGGTGAGATGCAGTACTGCGTACCATTGGTCCCAATTTTCTTCTCCCTTGAGGTCGGGCACCTCCCAGCGGGCGCGGTTGCCAGCCATGATGACGATGGAGGTGAAAGATTCGTGATAGTGTGTGTATAGGTGTAGACGGCCTGTACGGTCGCGTCTGTTATTGTTTTTTTTTTTTTTGAGGAATCTGTACCTCTGCCGTTGCCAGTCGCGACGCCGCGATCTCTGGTCGACAGATTAGTAACTGCTCAATTGAACGGGCTCTACGCAGAGCTGGGCGATCAATTCATATGTGGTAAAAAGAAAAAGAGTCAACGCTGGGCTCTCATAACCTGTGGAGGCAATACTACTGTATTGGATCTGATGATGATGATGGGAAAAGCTGAGCGCTGGCTGGGCTGGATATCTGGGCAAGGTGTAGGTGGGGCAGCTCCGAGATGTGAAGGAGCTGCCTCACGTGACCCACCTGCACCTGCCACACCTTAGGAATTTAAACACGAACAATATCTCTTAAGTTACTATTCTATCCTCAAATTTTTAAGCAGATTGGTGTCTTCGGGTGTTTGAGCTTGGAACTAGCCATTGAGGCTGGCTGGACAAGAGATCCCAAGGGCATCCGGCGGTACTGTGCATCTTGTGCAACTGTGTCTGTTGGTATTCCTTTCACAGGGAATTTGGTTCGAACCGTAGGGTCCTGGGGGTGACGAAGTATCAATATCTCTGTATTGATTGATTCTGCGTAAGGAGTAGAAGGGAGATTCCAACCGGAGGTTGGGTGGGTAGTCGAGGTCTAAGTGTACCCCCTCGAGGTGGCCCATGCTCTGCCCCTACTCGCGGCCGAATTGGACTTCCAATCCGACAAGTACTTTATGTGATAACATCCTAAAAGCTCTATTGTCACCGGAACACAGCCTCATAGGCCGATGACGAATTCTTCGGAACGGTCATGAAAGGATCCGCAACGACTGCCTTCTCAATCTCATCCTCCGAGGCCTCCTGCTTGAGAAGCCATCCGATTCCCTTGAAGATATCGATGTTTGCCTTAAACGCGGACTTGATTCCAGGGAATATGAAATGTCCATGTGGAGCACCGGGATACACATCCAAGCGGGTTTCAACCCCATGAGCTCTGAGAGCCATCTCGTAAACCAGCCCGTCGTCCCTGAGGAAGTCTAGACCACCGACCTGAACGACTGTCGGCGGCATCCCGACATGCGGAGTTTTCGAGTTGAATGGCGAATAGCCCGCTGACTTGATGTCTGCCTTGTAATTGGCTGCGAGATAACCCCAGGCCGCTTTACTGAAGATCGGTGCCTCGGCATTCTGCTCTCTTGCGAGGAAGATACCCTTGTACTCTGGAGGCACTATCTCGTCCTCGAGGAAGAGCGGAGCCAAGAGCCAGATGCCGGTGAGAGGGGCTCCGAGCTTCGTGGTGCCATCGACCGTCTTCTGGGCCATTACAGCCGCCAAATTCGCGCCGGCGGATGGGCCTCCGATGATGAACCCAGCACTTAGATCGCCGCCAAGCGTGTGCGCATTGTCAGAAACCCACTTGAGGCCATCTTCAACATCATTAGGGGCCGCGGGAAAGGGGTGGGTTGGCGCCAGGCGATAGGAAAGGTTGATGACTGTGGCGTTGAAGAGCTTTGTGGCGATCCTGGCCCAGGGGCTCATCTGACGGCAGTCGCCCATTGTGAAGGCACCTCCGTAGATCAGAATAATGACTGGGGACTTTGCGCCCGTTCGCGCGGAGGGCTTGTGGATGCGAGCTTCTTGTTGGCGGTCACCATCGCGCATTGGGATTTGGATGGAGTACTCGAACTCCGTGTCTGGGGCTGGGGGAGCTGACTCTGGTAGTGGATGCTCAGCTGCCAGGTACTGGAGTATGGTTAATCGTCAGATCTCGTTATATGGAAAAAACTTAACCAACCTGTGCGATCTCTGGGCTTCAGCGAATAGTCAGTTGACTTTGTTCCAAAAGTCGGAAATTTCTCACTACAATCACTTACTCAATGACGCTTAAAGCAGCGAGCTTTTCTTGCGTATCGTACTTCATCTCGTTCACAATGGTTTTGGTATCGAGAGAGCCCATCGTCACAGTCCTAGACTCTAATACCTGAGCAGAAATGCAAGTTTCGGGGTAGTATGGAAGAGCAATGCACACGAGAAAAAATAGAATGGATTGAGAAAAACTTACAACAGCGAGCAGCCACCGTCAATTTAAAGCAAGGTCGCTACGCTTGCTTTATCTGATGTGACGGAATCTGGGTTCCAACAGAGCTAAAAGATTACATGTTTGTCTAGTCCCAACGACAAGCGCGACTAAAGGTCGGACATGGTCTCCGCACCAATTGTCCGAGGGACCACAATGTCTTCGCTTCGATGGTCATTATTGATCGGCTCAAGGGTAGAAAGCGTATGCAGCAAATGAAACGAACCCCCCCCCCCCGCGGAAAGCCCCTCTTCCAGTGCAACGAATCATCCCACGTCAGCAAAATAACCATGCGACATTTCGGTGATTGTCCAACGAAAAGTCCTTTTTGGCAAACCCAACCCAACGGTCTGGCTGCAATTGAGGTTACATTGGAGATGCGCGTGCGAGGCCCAGTTCGGAGAAAGTAAGTCTTGGCGATGTTTGTGTCCCACAAACATGATTCATAAAGAGCAAAAGATCCTATTTACTCGGGACCACAAACATTTGACCAAATCAAGGCACTTATCTGCGATGCTCCAGAGGCGGTATGGTATCTAAGCACAATTTTACGGCGCGTCCTGCGTGTGTGGGAACTTCGACATTTTCCTGAGCCAGTAGTACCTTACCTAAGTCATGGCGAGATCGAATAGTCTGATTCGTCCCGAATACCTTGCCTGAGGTGAAGGACTCCTTTGTAGTGTTCTTTGACCTGAGAATCCAGAAAGGGCACTGAAGAGGTTGTCAGAACAGAGTTGAAGGAGTTAACTCGAAAAGACTGATTCAGCCTCTGTGCTTCAGAACACTTTCCTCTTTCACAAGGAGCAGGCGACAATGGCTCATGTTACCTTAGTCTAAGGTGTCAGTCTGAGCGATGGAACAAGACTTCTTCGCACCTATGAGTCTTATTGAAAGACGATACTTAGCGTCAAGGTCATGGCCGAAAATTATAAAAGTGCCTCTATTAAGTGGTCCTGGAAGCTTCCTCCAACTCATCCTCAACTCATCATTCTCAACGCATCAACCCCAGTTTCAAGTTCTTCTGGCTCTACAAACCGCTCACCACTTGACACCATCAGCTCCAATCATCACTCGTACTCGACAAGTTGCAAATCGCTCTACATCGCAACCATGTGCAACTATGTCCTCAACGTCACCAAGTGCCGTCAGTGCGGCCGCACCATCAGTTCGTCTCAGTCCGATTTCGTCTACTGCCCGTCTTACAAGAACGGCATCAGCTGCCAGACCATCCAGCGCGACTGCCGCACTCAGCTTACTTGCTGCTCGAGTTGCCAGAGCGCCTATCATCTCGAACCTACATGTACTGTCAATGGCCTCAGCGTCTTTGGTGACAAGGATTACGGTTCCGACTCTGAGGATGGCTTTGCTCCATCACAGTAGGTAGTGGAAACAGGTTGAAGTGGTAAGTGGGCTTATATACGGTTAGTGAGCACTTTTTCCTCAATTATTTTGGCGACTGTGTCTGCTATATTCCAAGTTTAGGTCTAGTCTTTGGTGCAGTTAATCCAAGTCTTTTCTCACAATTTCAAACAAATGTCGAGCCACAATCAGTCGCCAACTTTGAAGGTCATTCTTGACAACACTTACACAGTGAAGCTTTTGAAAAGTGATTCGCTGCACATGGAATTTTACTGGTCCAGCCTGCCTAAATCTTCAGAGATTGTGACCTTCCTATCCAGTCGGGCCCTTCGGTTTTCGCTAACTGACTCGTGACAGCACTTGACGTAGTCTATTGACTCTAATGATTGAAGTTTGCAAATTAAATGATAATACGCTTATCCCATCGATGAGGCCTTCTGGAGAAATTAGATGGGCAAAGTGGCATTAACCTGAAGGCAAGTCCCCAACCTATCGCCCTCCAGTCTCGACGTAGCATTAACAACATACTCCTGCAGCGTCGACGTCCCGCACTTAAGCCCCAAAACAAAAGCCCCAGCAAACGAGTCCGCCAGCTTTGGTGACATGTGCACGGCGTCCATCGGGTAGCCCTCGACAGCGGCCTGCTGGCCCTGCACCTGAAGGGCCTGGGCGCTGTAGTTGCCGTGCGGGACGTAGTAGATCCCGGCCGCGGGTCCGCCGAGGGACTCAACGACGTACCACGAGTACCACGAGTAGATGGTCGGCGTCCACAGGAAGATGCCGGTCGAGTAGGGGTTGATGGGGGTCGAGGTCGAGATTACTACGCGGGCGCCGAGAGAGAGGAAGGTTGAGGAGGCGTTGCGGAGGTAGGTAGTGTAAGTCCGTACAACTTCCGTTTGATTGCTGGAGACACTTAGATCATCATCATTTGGGAATGATATAGCCGTTATCAAGATCCATGGACGTACTTAAAAGGCACAGGACAGACGTTGTCACCGATACCGGGGCAGTCAACTCGGTTCTTGACTGTATCGTTGATTGGGTTTCCGGCTAGACTTTTGTTAAAGGGATTGTTCCATTGCTAAGGGGAAACCAGGCAAAGGCTAGATACATACGTCCGTCATTGTGACCAAACTCAATCACAACCCAATCACCAGCCTTGACTTCGTCAATGATGCGCTGAAATCGGCCCTCTCTTGTAAACGTGCGCGCGCTTCTTCCAGCGTACGCAGAGTTGTTGACTCGGATCTTTGATGAATCAAGAGAGTAGTGCAGGTATTCTCCCCATCCCTGGGTGCCGTTATGTCCACCACCCGGTGCCATCGTGCTGTCGCCAGCAAGCCAGAGTACTTGTCGGTCATCGACATCTGAGCGCTCGGTAGGTGCCGCGAGTGTCGATCCAGCTCCCAGGAGGAGGGAAACAACGGACAGCTTCATCGTCGGTTTCTTTCCTTCTGTGTGGAATGGATACTGGTAGAGACTGATGCGAGAGCTTGCGAACTGCCAGGCTAGAAAATCCCATCAGGGAGTCTCTTTCTTTTTTCTTTTTCTTTCCATGGCGAAGGTGTCATTGACAGCGGATCTCGGCACCCAGCACCATCTAGGGTGCCAGGGATACCGTTATGTCTCCCCGCATCTAACTGAACTGACAAGCCTCTGAGCTGGCATTTCCCCGCGTAATCCAGGGGTCATTTGGAGGCAAAAGACGCAACGGCGGGACCGCTAAGCTGGATGAATGCTGAAAGGCCGTTGCTCATTTTGCGCACGAGTGGGAAAGCAATTGAATGGTATTTGATGAAGCGCTCCTCATTCGTGGGAAGAAGGTGGGTGGATTTTGACTCGGGCCAACAGGGGCCGAGTCCACCATGAAGTAGGCTTTCGGCCGACCGCTTGCCGAGTGAACCCGGGCAGATGGATCATGACCCCGTGGGGAGATGATCGTTTAGGGTCCGTCTGATCCGGGGTTGATTAGTTCCGCTGCACCCGGAGCTACTTTGTGCTTCATGTGATGATATACAGGCCGCAATCATTTCTCGGTCTCCTGAACTGAACTCATGCACAGCGAATTGAGTGACTACTCCTGACGTAGGAGTCAAGACGAAGAGGCTTATGTCAATGTCATGTGCTATAACCCGGATGATGAGCAGGTCTGCCAGGCAAGGTTGCACAAAATATCTTGGTCCTCGAGGCAATTCAAAAATTGAAAGCTGATAGCATTGTTGTGGCTTGTTCTATCGTGAGATCGGATCTAGTCCTGTGGCTTTGACCTTAGCTGCTGCGGCCTCGGATCCATTTGACAGCTTGTGACGCGGCCCGATCTAGAAAGACGAGTAATCCGATGGATTGCTACATTCGGAAGCGGGATAGCCATCAGATCCAGTGCCGTCCGATTGCGAGTCCGACTCGCCATTCCAAATGAATGGTTATCATCTATTGGAGTGATCCTCCGATGGACATTGCAACTTCGCACAGTTCAGTTGTAGCTGATCTTACTGCCAGAGGCAACTTCGATGTGGTTTTGCTAGTCACCCTACATGAACATTATAGTTACACTACTAGAAGACATCATGTCGCCATATGAGTAAGGTAAATTTCTCTATCGACGATGATATCAAACCCGGTTCTTCGGGCCTAGACGCACGATATCAAGCCAAACGGGACTGGCCGCCACTGGAAAGATCGAGGATTAGCCTTGGTGTGATTACCTGTTTGGGCATTGAGCTCGTGCTTTGACTCGGGCCCTCGGACGTGTTCCTGGTGTGGGGGGCAAACATTGACTTTTGCCATGACAGGATTGAAACCCGACGCATTCGGTTGCGGGGGTTCTCGAGGGTCGCATTTCATGCCGGGGGGAAGATGCCGGCCGGGGGACCGAACACGAGGTGAATACTGGATCCATTCTGAGGTGGATAACAAACGCGAAGTCAAGCCAGTGGGCGCATTGAGCCAACCTCGGGTTTGTGACAGATGATTCTTTCGAATGAGATTATCTAGTATAGCCGGCCGGATATGAGAATGCGTCTTCATTTGAGCTTGATGCTGAATAGCTTCCACCCTCCGCGCCCTGCAGAATGTGCTTAGCTCGAATAAGTTTACACAGCCACAATACCTCAACATCCCCAGCCAAGGGCAGTAGTTTCCCACAGTCCAAGGGAGCTGGATGTGACGAGGCATCCAATCATTTCAGAAAACGGACGAAACTTGTAGGAGAAGGCATTGAATGACACGTACTCTGCTTGATATATGCAAGCAATGGGAAGCTGAGCTGAGCTGAGCCTGCATATGATCCTCTATGCCTCGGGAGGAATCTTAGTGCACATGCCACACATAGCAGTGGGAATGAGGTAGATCCAAGGCAGGTAATGCACCAGAATCAGATGCTTGGAAAGAGTCAAGTCAGATCTAGGAGTCTGCACTGATGCAAGGTGCTGCAGATAGCCGAATAAGAAAGGAGGGTCGCTCAGACAAAGCCGACAGGGGCAGGCCAGAGACACTGGGGACTCTGGCACTTGACACGGCGACTCCCGCAGTCTGTTCGCTGTTTCTATTCAGAGAACCCATGAATCAAAGAGAATATTTTTAAAATCCTTAAGTGGTGAATATTCCCCCCCTCCCCTACCTCTACACGCATCCTACGAAGAACAAACCAGTGACATACAGTCTCGTGACGTCACTTACCCGTGATCCACAATTCAACCGGAGGACCGGTGACCGAACACGATCGCGGGGACCTTCCAGAAACGCAACATCCTTTTCACCTCACCGGAAGCTGCTACCACCTAGCTCCTGCCTACAAAATAATTCACATCGCCAACGTGAAGTACCGACCCGACCGGATCTTTCCCCCAACCAACCGCCGCCGCTACAACTCACCATATTGTCAACACCGTTCGAGAGAGATAGCCAGAGGCAGAGGAAGCTCCAGCAATAGATGGCCATTGGCATATCGTGAATACTACCCATCATGGTGGCCCAGCAGCCCTCCGGCCTCACTGCCGAGCAGACAAAGGCCCTGTTCAACATCCTCACCCATTTCGAAACGTACCACGAGATCGAAGACTTCAAGAAGCCAGAAACCATTTCCGACTATGGCTACCCCTTTGCGCAGAGCTCCGAACCCGGCGAGGCCGTCGCCTACGCCCCAGAATCCTCCGCGCCCCTCCTACAATCACTCTTCACCAGATTCGTCCTGAAGCTGCCAGGCGTCTCCTCCTTTGTCCCCGAGTTCTGGAACGTCCGCGTCCAGGGTATCCTCAAGAACTTCGCCGAAGCCGAGCTGTCCGAGAGCTATGAGAAGGGCGCCTTGGGTACTAGAAAGACCCTGGCGACCGCCTCGTCCACTGTAATAGAGACCGTTGCGCGTGGCATGATTGGTGGCGGACCCTACAGCGACCCGGCGACCCGGCTAAAGCAGTACGATTTGGAGAGGGCGGAAGACCTGGCGCAAGCGTGGGATGATGCTATGCATGACCTTGTGTACGAGGACCTCTGCGACAGCTTGCTCGACCATCTTGCTGAGACGGACGATTTTGAGTCGCACTCTCCAATGACCAGAGCGGCGAATGAGTACATCATTGTCCAGTCAGTATTGCTCCTTGCGAAAGCAGTTTGAGGAAGAAAGGCCAACTAACACGGACTTTTGCAGCCTGGCTGGACTTGCCCACCAAGTCCTAGTTGACTCCCCCGAGGGCCAGTACCTAGTCAAGCTCATGGAGCAGGTTCACAAGATGGTGCCATACAACATGGTCAGGCAGACACTCAAGGTCGGTAATGCTGCGACCATGATTGCAGGCATGATGAAGATCTTCCTGGCCAAGCTCAGCGTCGGCTCGGTCTCGAACTGGTTTGGCCTCACAAAGGATGCTGCAGACGGCATGAATCTTATGCAGAGGTTCGTTTTCCCCAAGCTGAGGGTCGTAATACCTTGAGAGACGTAGAGAGACTAACGCAACTGCAGGATCATCTCCGTCATCCTCGGCTGGGACTGCGCAGACTTCAAGAAGACGGTCGACAGGATCGCCAAAGACAAGAACAGGCCAAGCAAGGGCGCCCTAGACGCCATCAAGACCCATACCCAATCACCTCCAACCGAGCGCGAAGTAATCCGAGCCATGAGCGCGCAGCAAGACAAGTCCATCATCGCTGTCATCCTCGAAACCGCGAACCCTATCCTCTTATCTGACCTCAGCGAGGAAGAGCATACGATGTGCCTGGAGTACTATGCAGCGCTACTAGCTATCCGCGACCGGGAAGAAATCATCAGCATCCTCTGCAGGCAGAGCCCGGACTACCTCACCCAGGCTGTCCGCGAGGCAGTAGCGGGGATGGATCCCATCATCCGCGCCGTACACAATAAGGTCGACCTCTCGGACCACGTCAGGGATTACCACATGTTCCTCGACCAGCTGATCGCCTGCAGCAAACCGAAGAAAGGAAAGAACAAGGACGATCCGGAGACCATGCCAACCGTGGAGGACTACGTCAAGCTGTGCAAGAACAACAAGCACCTCCTGTACAAGTGGCTGCACGCTGTGGGTGGTAAATGCCCAGAAGTGATGGACCAATTCAGAACGTGGGCAAAGGACTCCCTGGTTGCGTTCCACAAGACCAAGAATGGCGGCGCGAGCATCGAGGAGCAGCTTGGCGATATTTTCAACCAGGTTCCCGACAATAGCAGGGCGGCCCTGCTTCCAATCATTGACGCCCACGCCGTGTACCTGCGGGACCTGGAAAGACTGTCCTTGACGCGGATGCAGACCATCATTGAGGGCAATTCGACAAGCATGGCCGGTCCGGGTATCTACTTGGTGCGGTGGCAGAACCTGATGGACGACACTCTCATCACGCCGGTGAGGCCCGTCGGCCCGGTGCGATTAGGCAGAGACGTCAAGGGGGCGGCGCCGTCGCAGGGTAAGCGGGGTTCCGCGTCGAGCGATGCCGGCGAGATCATTGCGGCGGTACGCGACATGAATCTGTCTTCTCTACCTGAAGCGCCAGATGTGCAGGCCGTCATCCAAGCGCTAGGGCCTAGGTTCAAACAGATGCTCACGGTAGCGTCTAGAGCCAACGGTCCTCCAACGAATGGCGCGGCCAATGGAAATGCTGCGTCAGTCTGAGCTTGGATGGACTGCAGACGAGTACCATGACATGTTTTTGAGGACTTCTTTTGGCCTTTCGGGGTGGATTAGCATGGTGTCACATGATGACTACTACAAACGACTTGCATAAGAACATGGTTTGATGGTCTTTAGGGATTGGCCAGGCGTTTACGGGAATTGGTGTTACCTTGGACTTGGACTGGACTGCTAGTACTGGACGGCAGGCGGGATACTTGCTGTAGAGCCAGCCATAGACATTGAACAGAGATGGCACAAAGTAACCGGAATATCGCAGTGCTGTGACAGTGGTAGCCTGAGAAAACTCGCCGTGGCAACGTGAGGTATTCGACGAGCCAAGAGCATTGGCATACGTGTGCGAAGCTTATCCCAGCCTTGACTGGCAGAACGAAGTACGCGTGCCTAGCTGCCAGTCAATTTCGGATGTATCCATCAGTCTCCGAGACTGTGTCATGACAATTGGCCGTAGCATAGCCTCACTCTCACATTTCTTCTTAGCGTTCATCCACCCGCACACAGTTGACATGGTACAGGTAGATCATCTTGGCAACATTGTTGCGGCAATCAACGGCCAGGAATTGTCAGCAAACAAGCATCCCGTCATCCAAGAAGCAGCGGCAAAGGTTTGCCGCCAGCCCATACCAAGTCAGGTAGCTCGTCGAGATCATCTGGCGTCGCTAACCGATTTGCCCCAAGCTCATCCCTGTCTAGCGTCGAAGAAGCGGCGCACATGGGGATGTTTAGACGAATGATCCGCCGTCAGCTCGCTTCAAATATCCCTCACTCATCTCGCTTTCGTTTAGACTTGCCCTGGAACTGGTTGCCTCCCTGGTCGGGCCCACTGGACTTTCCCTCCCTTCCGACCTCGCCCGCCTCAACTTTCCCTGCCTCATTACACATCATCCTCGTCTTAATTCTTGGGATATTTCTGTCATCTCTCTCTCAGAGCTCTTCTCAATACTACACAACTCTATTGTGACAACAGCTTGCAAGTCTTGTCTATCAAGTAATTCGTCTCATAATGTCTACTACAACAACCACCACCCGTGCCCCAAGCACGGGCATAGACCTCACCAACCTCTCTCCCTCCCAGGACCCAGACTCCAGCTCCTTCTCCTCAGAGATCAACGACCCCTACAACCTAGGCACACACATCAAATCCGACGCCGACATAGTCCAAATCACCTCAGCCTACAACACGAACAAGCCGCGAAGCACCAACACCAGCACCCGAAGACGCCTAATCCACCACAGCTTCACTCGTGGCGGCGCCAAAGATGCAAAGCTCCAAGACTTTTACCGTGCCCAAAACGACAAGATCCGCTCCTATCTCAAGAGCGTAGACGACCACGAGCGCGAGGCAAAAGAGACGCAGGGCGACAATAATCTGAAGTACCAGATCGCTGTAAAGGGTAGCTTAGCGGCCAATGTCGTTCTCTCGGCGCTGCAACTTTACGCTGCGATTACCTCTGGCTCGCTTTCGCTCTTCACCACCATGGCCGACTCTGTCTTTGATCCGCTCTCGGGTGTCCTGCTGCTGCTTTCTCATCGCGCGGTGAAGAAGGTTGATACGCAGAAGTACCCCTCTGGCAAATCACGCATCTCGACGGCGGGAAACATCGTCTTCTCATTCATCATGTTCTCCGTCTCGTTGGTCTTGATCGTCATGTCGGCTCGGGACTTGGCTGCTGGATCTGAGGAGGATACTAACGAGTTCCACTTCACATCTGTCATTGCCGTCGCCATTGCGTTCGGGACGAAGTTCTGTTTGTGGCTGTACTGCTGGTCTATCAAGGATATCTACTCCCAAGTTGAGATCCTCTGGCGTGACCACCGCAACGATCTCTTCATCAACGGGTTTGGTATCTTTACCTTCTCAGCTGGGAGCAAGATCAAGTGGTGGATTGATCCCATGGGCGCCATTCTCTTGTCCTTTTTGATTGCGGGGTTGTGGTTGAGGACTGCGTATGAGGAGTTCCAGTTGTTGATTGGGGTGTCTGCTGAGCCTGAGTTTTTGCAACTCATCACTTACATCGGTAAGCCGGTCTTGACCTCTCCTGAGAAAGAACTGGGAACTAATAGACTTGCCCATAGCCATGACCCATTCTCCCGAAGTCAAACAGATTGACACTGTTCGCGCGTATCACAGCGGGCCTCGCTACATCGTTGAGATCGACGTCGTCATGGACCGCCACGAGAGACTTGAGATTGCCCATGATGTTGCCGAGGCTTTGCAGATCAAGATTGAGAAACTTCCAGGAGTTGAGAGAGCTTTTGTCCACGTTGACTATGAGACGAGTCACAAACCTGTAAGTGGTTTTGGTCCCCATTCATTTATATAAAGTAGACTCCATTTGACATTAATGTTCTCCCTTCATTATTTTTATCCGCTGACGCTGGAAGCAACAGGAACATGACTTGAAGAAGGACCTATGATAGTTCGTAGTTTGAATGACTTCGGGATTGCTGCTAAAGCACCTGGAAATAAATATTGGGGGTTTGTTGTCTAATTAATCTGCCCATAATTGAGGTACAACAGAATTCCAAGTTGCTGTGACATAAGGTAGGTACTAAGAGAACAAAAAGTTCCTGAACTGGTGATACAACGTCAACACCATATAGTAATCAAGCGACTAATCAAGGGACACGAGATGCTTCAAACGACTGTGATCAACTTATCAGGCCTCAAGCAACAAGAGGATATCTAATCATATTTACCGATAAGCCTTCTATCACAAAGCGAGGTAGCAAGTGGAAGACTTGTATGGTAGAAAGTGGCTTGATTCCTCTAAGTGGAAGACCCGTATGAGGGTCCTATCTATATACCGTACAAGACGGGTAATCGGCTTGTGGAAAGCGGTATCGTACGGCAGTAACCGGCAGCGCCACGTGTGGCGCTGCGACATCAGTCCTTCCATACAGGAGAGAGAATCAGAGACAGGCTCCAAGAGCTTGTAGATGAATATGATGAATACATCAGAGAATGCTTACACATCATGGATAGGTTCAGCTTGGCAACTCAGCTTGTAAGTTGGCCGCAGTCTGCAGCTCGTTCCAGGGGCGTACCGTTTATTGATATATTTCGAGTAGGAAATCAGTCAAATTGGCCGCAGTGATGCCAAGACGAACCAAGAGATATCACGAGTCAATCTGGATGTTGCCCAAATGACACGATGGGACGGAAGCATCATGAAATCAATCGCGGTGTTAGGAATGATTTTCCTGCTTCTTTCGCAACGGTGCGTAATCCAGTTTCTCAAAGAGTTCAAGAGATGCGAGGCTAAGATTATCCGAGGCATTCTTCTCCATGGATTTTTTTGATGAATTTCTTTGATCTTCCGAAAGAAGGGAAAGAGGGAACATTATCAACTGTTCTGGATCTACGTACTAGCCGCGGTCCTGTTGACGTTGGGCACGATGGCTATCTTCTATTTCTGTATCTTGAAGAAAAGGACCACGGAGGCTGGAAGCGGCAGGAGATCAACAACAGTTTCATTCGCGTAAGATATCATGTTATGTCGCGGACATTTTGATATTGACAAGACGAGCGGCTTTTAATCCCTAGTTGGGTGACCGGGCTAAGACTTAGCAGGCAAGTAAGCTGACCTCAGATCACACCCATTGAGTAGCTCTAAACCTTTTGGCCAACTGCCTATGTTACACAGTAATCGAACATTCGTTAGTGCGGGAAGAGACGATTCGACGCATGCAGCGGCTATTGGTTTGGTACTTTAGGCACCCATGTCGGCTCAGCCGCAATTTGGCAGCTCGTACTCCGTACTCGACTGAAAACCCTTGTTGGTAATCACCCCCACCATTTGTCGCGCAAGAAGAGGCTTTTGGCGCTGCCAGTAACGTCAGATCAGGCTGCAGGATTGCTGGCGAGAATTGGTCAGTTCCCCACCTATGTGCTCAATCTGTCTACTCGACCGCAAGATCGTCTACGCGCTTTGTACATCAACAACGGACACTTCTTTTCCTCTTCTCATATTTGGAATGTTCTGTTGACTCAGGCCAATATCAGCAGTCGTCGTAGCTCCAGTTGTCTCTTAAGACACTGCGAGAACCAAGATATCTGGCGGAGCAAACTCCTCCACTCGGCGCTGCTTCTTTGCTCCCATCTACTAAATACTTTGCTTGAAGAAAAGCGATACGATGAGAGAACAGGACCCATCTGATTCGCCGGGGAAGAAATTCGCCAATGGAGACAGGCCCATGCATGAGATTTGGGCGGCCGCAGCCGAGCATTTCCGGGAAATATGCGGCGAGTCGCTGAACAAGGGCGAGCTGAAGAGCTTCGAAGACGTACAGAAACAAATCGAGAACAGCGGCAAAGTCAATACGAGTCCGATTCCGGAAGATAGCTGGGAGACAGCTAAAAGTGTCGGCTTGAGTTCTCTTAAGTACCTCAAAATGCTCGTGGGAGTTGCTTCGCAGGCCTCTTCATTTGTGAGTATTGCTAAAGGCCATCTTTACAAACCTGGTTTTCTGATGTAATTAGATTCCCATTCCAGCTGTGGCTAGTAACACTACAGCCAGTGCGCTATCATTCGTGTTCGACATCCCTCAAGCTATCAAAGGCTACAATGATGCAGTAGATCAAGTCTTCAGCGAAGTGTCATCGGCGCTGTCTCAATTTCAGATCTACCAGTCCATGGATAGCGTCGATCGCCTGCTTATCAACCAGATCAACCTGGTTCTCATACGCTTTGTCGAGGTTTGCGCTCATGTTGTCAAGCACCGTCAGGGCCGTAGACGGGACCGAGTCTTCCAACGAGTCAATTCCATCTTCGACAGCGATACAGACTTGGCTGGTGCTATGGCTGCCTTCAAAGGGGCCATGCAGGGACAGCGCGACGTTGAGGGGACTGTCACTCTTGCTGTGGTTGTAGAGACGCAGAGGGCGGTGCAAGAAACTCACAAGGGTGTCCAGTCTCTGACAGACGACGCTGACCGCACAAGGACATTGACCAAGATCCGCGATAATCTTGGCGTGCTGTCAACGGTCCGGCTCGACACCAATACCACGCAGACCGTTACCACCATCTCTGACAAATGTTTCAACGGCACAGGTTCTTGGATATGGACACACGAAGCATACACGACTTGGACAGCATCCAACGATAAAGATGTCTTGGTTGTGTCCGGCCCTAAATCATCCGGCAAGACATCAGTCACCGCCCTCGTCACCAAACGCCTCGAGGAACAAAAAGGCCGCACCTACGTTGCCCATTACTTCTTTCCTGTCAGTACTAAGAAGTCTGAAAGTGACAAAAACCCGGTGCAGACGGCGTTGAAGTACATGGCTTTCCAGATTGCTCGTGTTGATGTCACGGTGCGGAAGGCCTTGAGCAAGGCATGTGACGCCGGTCCCGCGGCGTTCCGTCGCTCGTCGACCACCGAGAACTTGGAAAAGCTGTGGTCGGACCTTAAGATTGGGGCTCCTGGATCGGGAGCTACATACTACCTCGTATTCGATGGCATTGAGAATCTGCATCTGGATCAGTTGAAGATGCTCCTTGAATTTGTCTTTGGTTCTCGGACGAAAGCGAAGCCGACTCGGCGAGTGCGCATCTTGGTGAGTGGCATGGACGAGAATTTGAAGACTGCTTACCAGCCCAACTTCGACGATGCGTTGAGAATCCAGATGGATAAGGAGAACGAGAAGGACATGCGGATCGTCATCCTCGAATCTATGAACAAACAAGGTGTGCTTCCAAACGCTGGAACCAACTCACAACATCAGAAGGCAAGGGACAAGATTCTCGAAAAGCTTCCACAGAATGTCAACGGAAGATACTCAACATTCCAGCCTCAGCTAGACGGAGTCATACGTCTCTTGAGCACACGTATGGCTACGGTCGAAGAGCTAGACCGCATGCTCGATCAGTCAATGAGCGGCCTCGAAGCGGCGATCAATGATCTCCAGCGGTCATTGACAGCTGATGAGATCCTGGAGCTGAATGAAATGCTTAAATGGGCCTTGTACAGCGACTATTATCTCACGCTGGACCAACTTGAGTCTGCCATGGTAAGGAGTTCTGCATTGATTTCTTAGTTGTATAGAAGCTGACATAGATAAATGAAGAGGCTACTTTCGGGCATAGAATCTCTCACGTCTCTCGAGTACGTCATCAGAAATAAATACTCGGCTCTGTTGATGATCGATGAGGGTAGTGTCTATCCTCAAGACGGTGTTGTAGAGTATCTCCAGAAGCAGAGAGAGCTTGCGAACCGCTCGTCCAACTCCAAAGACCGTCCCACCATCAGCATGACCATCACCATCAATAACGTCGACCAAGAGCTTTGTGGGCACTTTCTCTGGGATCTTGCGGATATGGCGATCCGGGACAAGTTCAAATTTGATTTCAACAACTCGGGTGCCTTACACAACAGCGCCCAGCGTATTATTTCAGTGGATGAGTTTGAGGCCAATCAAACAATCGTGACTCGAGCATTTCATTACCTGAAAGGCGATCCCCAAGAACAGACCAAAGACATTGGAGAGTATCTCATCTGCTGGCTCCCCTACCATCTGGGCCAACTTCGACAACTCGAGGACGAGGGCAAGGGAGAACTTACTACAAATGAACGGGCCGAGATTGGAAGTAACTTGTACAATCTTTTCAAAGATGATTCAGTCTTTAAACGGCACAAAGCAACTCTTGGAGAGGTCTATTGGTGGGCAGACGAGATGACAGACGTTCAGAAGTGGTTGACCGACCCAGCAGTCGTCCGAAGGCTCGACAAGCCATGGCGCGCGAAAATGGAGCGTGCACGATATCCCCCGAGAGGATATCTCAAGGAACTCGTCAATATGGTCGTGCGGGGGTTCCTTAGAGAAAGGAGCTGGGGTATTCCGAGCGCTTGTCGGTGGCTGAAGGAGTTTATGGCCGCGGTAAGCCTCTCTCAATTATCCCTCAGAAGACGTTCAGCCTATTGACGTGGGTATGAAAACAGGACAAAGACGAGGTTGAAACGCTTCCAGACACCTCAACCCCCAACGGAGATGATGCGAACCCAGATGGCTCATCACCTTCACCCTCTTCCGCTGGGTCCAGCGATGAAATAGACTGGGATGTCGCCAGCAAATGGTGCCAAGAAATTCTCGGGCTGTCAGATGCAGGGCTTGATTCGCTCTGGTACGAAAGACTTGCTGAGGCATCGTCTTGCGTGGGGAACAATCCCTATCAAGCACTGTTACTCTATCAGAAAGCTGCTCAACTCAAGAACCCAAGTTGGCAATGTTACCACGGCCTGGGTGTGACGTACTACAACCGAGATCAATTGGGTCAGGCCATAGAACAAGTTGAGCTTGCTCTGAAGGAGGCTGAATCAGAGAACACAATGCCGAAGCCAGATTCGAAGGAAATCACCGAGTTGCATTTATTGCTGGGAAAGTACACCTATGAGGCGCAGAACATGGTCACCGCAGCAAAGCACTACTTGGTGGCATCTCGAAGCGACGACACCGAACAGGCGGTTGCCGGACAATTAGGTCTCCTGAAGGCAAATCTGATGTCATCAGATGTCGCAGAGGCTGCACAATTGCTGAAGACCATGATTGCTGCAGAAGGCGGCGAAAGCAAGATAACTAATATTCTGAAGAAGATAGCGAGGGACTCTGAGCATGACACTCTCGCCTCAAGCATGTTCAGAATCACCAAAGACGATCCCGAGCTTCTAGAGAAGATGGTCCACACAATGTACTCGGCCACGCAGAAGTCCACCGCGCAAGAAGAACGCAACACCGAGCCCTCTAACGCGGATGCGCAATATGAGGAATACGAAGCCCAAGGGGTCCTGCTCTATGACCTAGGCCTCGCAGCCTACAAGTTTGGAATCACACTGGATGGAAAAGAGCGCGTGAGCGAAGCTCTGCGTCTTTGGACCGAGAGTCGAGACCAGCTCGCCAACGTGGGCGGCCGCAACGCCTACGTCACACGTTCAAACGCCACCTCGGCTCTTGCGAATCACTACTTATTAAACCGAGGGAATGGGAAAGACGAAGAAAACCTCGAGGCACTGGCCAAACTCGCTAATGACGAATTGCATGTGTACGACGACTCTCTGCGGGCACACTTAGCCGCGCTCCACGCGTTACGAGGGGAGAAAGACAAAGCCAGATCGGTGCTCAAGACACGAGTAACACAGGCTCTTCAGATACTTTCTGATGAGATGCCCGACAATGATTACTATGGCTTCTTCCTCCTCCGGCAAGTCATGAAGAGCTACCGACAAGAAGACTTCAAGGGCGCGTTCATCGCCCTTAGCTTGTGCGGCCAACCAGACCTTGTCACGGACAGTTTGAAATTTGCAGCCGAGGATGTGAAGGATGATAAAGTTGCAGACAAGGAAAAGGTTCTCGAAATTCTCACAGTATTGGCGAAAGAAATTACCCAGCTTGCGAGAACTCAAGTGCCAGATAGTGCGTCACAGCTACAACGCATCCAAGCTGCCAAAACACACATCGACTCTCTTGTCCTCGCAAGTCAATCGAACCTCGCCTCCGAGGCTGACACAAGTCATCAAGACAAGCCGACTATCCCGGACAGCACTGGCTCTGTAAGTGGTGTTGCACATCGCTTACTCCAATCGCGTATCTCGGACTTGCTGAACAAGCACACGCCCAAGATCGAGGTCGAAACCCATTGTTTCTGCGATGGATATACTTCGGAGGGGGAAAAGTGCGAGAAGCAAGGCGATTTTGACCAAGAGTTTTACCATTGCGTCTACTGCTGGGACAAAGACTTTTGCAGAGAATGTCTGGCGCGGTTACGTGACCCCAAATCCGACCTCATTAACGTATGCAGTGAAAAGCATCAGTGGATTCGGAGACTACGACAGGGGGAGGATGCTTGTGTAGGCCCAGCGGCGAAGACTGTTCCAGTGCCAATCAGCGTGGTACCAGTTGATGGCGATGCGAACGTTCTACGAGCTTGTTATTCCGAGGAAGGTGGGCAGGTGATCTCAGTTGAGGAATGGAAAGAGATTGTGGCAAGAGAATTCGAAATCCCAATGGACGAGATAAAGAGTGGTGTGGCAGCGTTGAATACGCCGGAGGATGATGGCAAGAGCACTAATACCTGATGGAAAGGGGCCCAGCTTTGAGTTACTTGGCCATGATCACTCAGGCCGTCAAATGTAAAGTACCACGGTTAATCGTATCAGCCCAGTAGTACCGAGTTTCCACGCATCATCCCCTTTGAGAGATTTGCCATCGTTCGAGTTTTATATGTGGCCAAAGGTAAGTTGAAGGAGACTCCAGTTCAACGCGATCAACGCCAACTTACTTGAACTGCCCAAGGGGCCATGGCTGCTGGTTTGAGTTTGAGTTAAGTTCATGACGACGACAATATCCACATGGTGGGCAGCAGATTGGCGTGGATATGAGCGTTTGGGAGAGAAGCTCCTGCATCGCCATGACAGGAGTGCATGATGATGCCAGTGCTTTCCTGTCGCGGGAGCCAGCTGTTCAGTTCACCAGACCTTTGAGTTATCAGTAGTTGTCCTGTTGCAAAGAGTTCTTCATCATATCAGCGGCTGAGGATGGAAATGATACTTGCAGGAAACTCAGAGGATCCTTGTTTCAAATAGACGCTGGGAACACAAGGATTTGAACTGTTCATTGTCCCAACCAGCTCAGGGGAATAATCTCAAACTTCAATGAGGAATTCTCGGGCTCGGAAAGTACAACTTATGTTTCCAAGATACGAATACATTTCCTGCATCAATCGTCAAGTCCCTCGGGTGTTGTCAACTTGTCAATCGTTCGCCCGGAAATCGATATCCACAACATCTCAAAGTTAAGCAGCGGTCCTGGCTTACTTCAAACAAACGGCTGTGCGCCTAGCAAAGTTCTAGTCCCATTAACGTTAAACAGGCCCCACCAACACCGGCTTCAATCGTACGAATTGCGTCAACCTGATAAATGAGCCGTCCCTGGAATTTGACAAGCGCCGCATCTGCCGTGCCGATGTGCGGTCTCGTCCGGGATCCCTTCGGGTTGCCCCCAGTCCTGCCCCTTTCATCGGGCTGGACCATCAGATGGCACTTTGACAGCTACCGCCTACCGCCAATAACACTGCTGCTCCTTGTCAAAATCATTGATCCGCAACTAGGCTAGCCGTGCCGAGGTGCTGGTGAAATGAACCAAGCAATGAGATGTCGGAGCAAGATCGAAAAGGGACGGCATGCCGCTGTGGGATAGTCGCCGGCTCGAGAACAAAACGATCGGCCCAGCCGCAAAGATTCGATGCATCTGTAACTTGTCGCTCGCTACCAATCCGCAACCATGATGAAAACGCTCTTTCTTACGGCATTGGCTGCTGGCTCAGCTGGTAGGTCGCACTCTAAACCCTGTCCCACATACGATTCGCGGATACACCCCTAACTAACTCCCGTCCCTTGGCCGCGGCGAACCTCAAGGACCATGGAATCGACTGGTCGTCCACCATCGTGGAGGAGCGTGACAAGGGCGTCACTTACAAGAACGCGCAAGGCGTCGCGAAGCCCCTGGAGGAGATCCTCGTGGCCGCCGGCGTGAACATGGTCCGCCAGCGCGTCTGGACCGTCGAAGGCGACTACGGCATCTCGTACAACCTCGAGCTCGCGAAGAGGGCAAACGCCTCCGGGCTCATGTTCGGCCTCAACCTGCACTACAGCGACGGCTTCACGAACCCGGGTCTGCAAGACATCCCGACCGGCTGGCCCACGGCCACTGACGCCCTCGAGGCCCAGGTCACCAACTACACCGCCGAAGTGTGCGCGGCGTTCGCCGCCGCCGGCCTCTACCCCGAGATGATCACCATCGGCAACGAGATTGACAGAGGCATCCTCTGCTCCACCGGCAAGTACGATCAGCCCGAGAACCTCGCCCGCCTGCTGCACGCTGGCTCGGCCGCCATTCGCGCCTCTGCTTTGGGATCGACCACGAAGATTGTCACGCACCTTGCCCACGGCTACGACGCCGACCTGCAGGACTGGTGATACGACATGCTTGTCAAGACTGGCAAGTTCACCACCGCAGACTGGGACGTCATCGCCGTGTCCTTCTACCCCTTCTGGAGCTCGGAGGCGACATTCTCTGCCCTCGAAACTGCGCTCGGAGGCCCTCAGACCAGCTTAGCATTCCGTTGAGCACGGCAGGCCAGACGGAGTACATCACCATGGTTGCGGATACCCTGAAGAAGATTCCTAATGCCACCGGTCTCAACTACTGGGAGGCTGCTTGGATTTCCAACGCCGTCTTGGGTTCCTCTTGCGAGAGTAACGTCATGTTTGGTGGCACTGGAAAGGCTTACGACAGTCTGGCTGTGTTTGGCACCATTTGAGATAGTCGCCCAGTCTTATTCTTCTTTGATAGAAGAGTACTGCGATCATTGTTCATGTACATATTTCTTCAAGGTAGTCCTGTCCATCCGACAGAGGTCAATCACATACCTTAAGTACATAAGCTACCTATTGTCCTCAAACTCCCAGCACGTCCGGCAACTGTTCATCTCATCCATCGTTCGCTAAAGGTCTCCACTTGAGAAGTTCAATGTGATTCCGACCCTTGCCACGTTTGTGTTTCTACATATAGTCTTGCTCGGAATAGATCGATGGGGACTGTGTTCGTCATGCAATTCAACTGATAATAGGCAAGAGAGCTTGCTTCAATCTCTCCATCTACATGACAACTCCTCTTCTGAATAATGGAGCCACAAGGCACGAAACTGGCGTATTCCAATTTTTTCCGCAGCCTGACGTATTCTGCATGAACACCTCAGCCCCAAGTGTCAGCTCGTTGTCTCGGCAAACTCAGCTGGTCGAATCACAACCAGCCAGGGACAGACCATCGCCCCCCTACCCCGAAGTACGAATATCCTTGGACTACGAGCCTGCTTGCGCTTACCGAGTGGCTTGGCGGCTCCCTCAATCAGAGAATGAATAGGGGCCAAGGCGCATATGCATACACGAGCATGGTTCATGGCACGACAACTGGTAAGTCACTCGCGTACCTTGACTTTAACCGGAAGAGTGAGCTAATCCAAGCAAAATTTCAGGCAGTGTCTTCAGGAAGAGTGGTGTGGGGGTTCTTGGAAGAGGGTGGGGAGAGTCGTCAATTACCATAAGAGATATAGTTACACGTGCGTAATGAGACAAGAGCCTGCTTCCATGAACACCTCACACATTGCCTCGGTTTCTGCCTACACAAATAAGGTAGCAGCCATCATCCATCGAAGAAACTGTGATCGGCGGATTGGAAAATGCGACATCGCAACTATCGAACGCTGTGACTCCGAACCTCCTATCAATGCTAAGAAATCGCTGCAGGCTGACTTACATCACTACACCGGCGATCTTGGCAACTCCAGGCCAGCTCGCCTCACACTTCTGTTATAATGCCCCATAGTGTCCTTGTCAATATCTAGTAGTCACAGAGTAGATCCTTACCATCAACTCGCTCACATGTATCTACCAAACTTTGTACTATCGTTCATCTCGTTGGAAACCCTTAGTCATCATGCCATCTGATCCGATGGAGATGGGGGAGGTGGACTTTCATTCCCTCGACATTTCCAGATACCAGGGCTCGGAGTATTCTGCGTCGACCACTAAAATCGGGTTAACAGTTTCGGATGTGGGTGCAAAACACGAATCTCGCGAGGAGCTTCTTCCCAAAGACACTGGCTTCTCACAAGGCCCTCGAAATACAAACCATGCTTCAGCAACGATACAGCTCAAGACCAAGTGGTGGCACAATGTCGGCTCACCACGAGACCTATGGAACTCGTCCTGGAACATGCACCTGTTCCTCTTCGTCGGTATTGGCTTCGCAATTGGTCACCACGTCTTCTATCGGTCCTTGAAAGGTCGCTTAGTTCAAGATGATGAGCAAATCACTAGCATGCGCTACGGAACAGCACTAGCTTTCGCGGCAAAAGCAAATCTTGTCATGGCCGTTTTGTCAGCGTTTCGGGAGCAAGTCTGGCTCGTCGTGGGCTCAAAATTCCTGAAAGTCACCACCCTCGACGACATGTTTGACGCGCCAGAAACCCCCCTGTCACTCCTGAATTGGGAGTTCATCAGCAAGGCTAAGATTGCAGCCGCCCTGACGCTGTACTGCTGGTACGTTGCCACCCTTGCCACTCTCATTGCCTTATGCAACTCAAGCTTACTCGGCAACAAGGGCATCGCCTCTTGGTGTCATCTTGACCACAAACACTCTAGCGGCCGTCCCAAGCGAAGAAGTCCAAAACACAACGTGCCCGGGTGTCCGAACACTAAACTTCAGATTCGAAGACCAAACCGACTGGCGCAACGGAGGCAAAATCGAGGATCTGAGCCAGCAGTCTTTAAGCTACTGGAATAACACCAGGAGCAACAAGTCTGATCCGTATTTTTTCGACTACTACACCGCCCCGAGCGAAAATGCAGAAGAGTTCATGCATGCGAGTACTTACTTGCAACGCCCCATCACGGATCAAGACAACACCTTTGAAGTATGCGAAAGAGGGTGGAACTGTACAGTCGAGATCTACTTTGTTGGCCCAGCCTACAGGTGTAGGGAAGTAAGTCGAGGGGGCAAGATGAACGACACGTTGTCTAGCATACGGACTTTTGTTCCTCCATTCTCCATGGAAGATCTTGCCCCGAAGGGTAATTACACCTACATCGCAAACACACTCCAAGGAGAATACGCATTTCCGCAAATGGCCAAGATGAAGAAAGGCGGTATACCCGTCATGCCACCCCCCTACCCAAAACACCTCGATGCCTTCCGAACCGAGCCGGTAATATGGATCGGATATTCAGAGCTCAACGAGGCCTTCACGTCCGTGTATCTAAACAGCAGCGAGCCCGTCCAGAACGAGGGTGCCTTCACCCCCGTGCTCGTCGCGTGTGAGCACTACGAGGCCAATTACACCGCTTAAATCATCTACCGAGATAACATGCAATTGCCAACGATCAAGTCACGCAAGCTTCTCACTCCAGTCGTAAACACAACCTTCTTCCCGGGGCTAGACGCGGACGACGGGACGATGGATAAGACTATTGCCGTCCCGGAAGGGAACTACATCTTACCCCAAGACGTCAAAACATACAGACGAACGGCGGGGTACCACTCAATGGGCCTCTTCCTACGCAACAAACTCAACGGGACGATCCGTGAGCCGGGCAAGGTTGAGGAGACGGGCGTGGTGCAGACCAGCCTCATCGATCACCGCTTCCACTTTGTCTGGCCGAATCTTATTAAGCTCATTGAGGCGTGGTACGGCAATCTTCTCATGTCCATGTTTGCGAGACCGAGATTTCAGGCTGTTGTCTAGGCGGCGAGGACGAATGAACAGACTAGGATTCGGCGGACGGGGGTTGGACCGAAGGATAATTATTTGTACCCGTGTGTGCGTTCAAGGCCGGCGATACGGTTCCATTATCGGGTGTCTATATTGGTAGGTGTGTATGGGATTTTGATTTCTTTGGGTTTATTTGGAGTCGTGGCTGGCGCTGTGGCTATTCGGAGGAATGGTGGGTCTAGGGGGGACGAGGTTTTCTGATATTGTTGAAGCGACAAGAGGGTCGGCCCTGGATGGGATAAGTCAAACCCCCCACTTCCTGGCACCCCCCTGTTTCTGGCACCACAAAAACGATGGGATCACAACCCGACCTCCTCATTACTATTAACTATTGATCCTCAACCACACCCACTACAATACAGCTGCCAGCCTCACTAGGGCATTCAGAGTCGCTGGATTCAGCCGTGATAACCTCCTTTTCACCCGCTTCGATTTGAGCCCGATGGATATCCCTGATGTTCGCGAACTTCGTGTTGGGATCGATTTGAACAGTCTTCCTCTTCCTCACTGCAGCGTTGGTAACTTGAGCCCTCAGGTGAGCTAGTTGCTGCTGGGCAGCTGCCAGTTGCCAGGCCTGCTCTGTGAAGCCTTTTTTCACCTTCCTGAATAGCAGCCGTTGAGTGCTGGTATCATTGTCGAGTTGGGTGTATAAGTGCAGTTGACCGCTGAGCTCTGCCAGCTTCCTGGGTGTCGACCAGACCACTGCAGAGGAGGCAGAATCCCATGGCTCAACAGGGGTAGTTTGTTGACCATTATGGCATCGCTTTCTGCCCTGACTAGTTGGTTTGGGTGTGGTGGGCTTAGCAGGAGGCTCAGGTAGCACCATAGGGTTCATCAGGGGCTTAACCATCGCCACAGGGTGTAGACCAGTCCACTTCCAACCACTTCTGATGTTCGAGACTGATAGACCAGCAAGTCGAGCCTTCTGGTAACAGTCCAGGAAGTTCCTTTTACCTATAATGGTAGAGTCGTTCCATTGAGACAAGTAACCGAGCTCCTTCCGATAGGCTGACTTAACAGGGCTGAAGACAGACTGGTCAAGAGGCTGGAGGACATAAGAGGAGTGTGGTGGTAAGAACAGTAAATGGATATTGTTAATATAGCAATTCCACATGAAGTCTGTCGTCGTATGACTCCCATGCCCATCCACAATCAGCAGTCGAGCCTCCCCCTCAGCCTCAGGCATAGTCTGTGGGATGAACACCTTCTCTAACCATTCAATGGCAGTTAAGTCTGTAGTCCAGCCATTATCTGTTGCTGTGAACTCCCACCCATCGTATGGAACGAGATGTAATGGAAACCACTGCTGTTGGACTGTCTTCCCCTTGAAAATGATAAGAGGACGAAGTGCCCTACCCAAGGCTGAGATACACTCAATGATAGAGAACCATGCCCTCGACCCAGGTTGTTTCTTGCGAACAGACGTCGTCTCAGCCATACCCAGCACTAACCCATTAGCTCCCTGACCCTCGAGGATGCCAGTCTCATCCATATTATATCTGTTGGCTGGTTTGATGTCCTTGATCTCAGGGATAGCGAGGAACTTAAACCAGTTCCTAATGACCTCAGTAGATGCCCCATTAACGCGTCTAGAATCGATAGAACGACTTCTCTGAACCTTAATGATAGGGTTCCTTCTCACAAAGGCATAGATCCAGCCTTTTCCCAGTGGTTTGGTATCCCCAGCAGCAGCCAGAACTCGCTCTGCGAATTCCTTCACCTGTTGGTGCGTTGGTGCGAGGCCCAGCGAAGCCTGAATGCGAACCCATTGTGCCAGCTTACTCTCCTGGTCAGGAGACAGCCTCTGCCAGTCAGCAAAAGCCACTTTCCTAGTCTGACCACCTTGGAGACGTAGTTGGAGGGTTGATCGTGGTATCCCATACTCCAATGAGGCTCTCTTTTGACTCTTGCCGTTTGAGATGTCCTCGAGAGCCTGACGAAGCTGATCTTCGGTACATTGAGGCATTAGATATAGAAGAAGGTATGTGCAAAAGATGAGCCCATTTGGACGCGAATTGAAAATGTTGTGATAAAAGGAGGTTGGGGGTGGGCATTGGGTTGTGGTGGATTTTCGCGTTTTTGTGGGTGCCAGAAACAGGGGGGTGCCAGGAAGTGGGGGGTTTGACTTAGTACTTGGAGGTCATGGAGCGAGACTTGGAGTACTTGCGAAGAGCTTCAAAATTTTCAGGCTTGGATATGGATTACTTAAGTCGCCTGGTGATGATAAGAACGGGGCTGGCCATGTGGTGATGCCAACTGTCGACCCTGGATGGAGGTTTGGATTCGGATCTGAAGGAGAGGTGGAACAATCAAGGGGTAGCAAGAGATGAAGGAACAGAGCTTCTAGGTTGGTCAGATTGGGACCTCAATGTACCTACCCCAGACTAGGCGATTGATATGCTATCCTTATATCCAATCAACTGCTAGATAGCGTCATTATATCCGTCTCTAGTCTTTCTTTAATTTTACTCTATTTCTCTTATATTCGCCTATAAATAATCTCGAAATAGATCAAACTTAGAGAAAGACTGGAGGCAAATATAGTGATGCCATCTAGTAGTTGATGGGATAGTCATTAGTCAATACACGAGTAATTTGGTATCATAAAGTACAAGTCCGTCAAGTTCATCTGCGCTCATCATACAAGTGCCAGGACAAAGACTCTACAGAGCCTTGTCCAAAGTTCCCTTCTTCACAAAGTCCTTTGTCGCAAACTCTCTCTCGCCACCAGTGGTAACGTTCTTGTTCTTAGCCATGCCCTGAGGGTCTCCAGCTGCCGTGTCAACAGCAGAGTTGAACTTTCCACGAATTACTTCGCCCATTCCCTACAGCTCTATTATCAGCATCCCAATCACGTCTTCGACCGTGGCTTGATATATGTGGGTGGTACTTACATGTCCCTGCGCAAAGGCACCCTTGATCTGCTGCCCGATGCCGCCGCTGTGCGTCGTCGGCGCATCACCGCCACCGATCGTGCTTGTAGCGGCTCTGGAGGTTGAGTGCGCTGCTGGAACCTGGCCGGTTGTCGTAGTATGGGAGGTTGCCGTGTTGACATTGGGGTTTTCGTATGTGTTTGCGGTGCCGGCGGTCTCGGGGTTGAGAGCTGCGGGATTCGTGTTCGTGGCCATGTTGACGGTTGTTCTGATAGATTGTGGTTTTTTAACTTTGGGTTAAGTCAAACCCCCCACTTCCTGGCACCCCCCTGTTTCTGGCACCCACAAAAACGCGAAAATCCACCACAACCCAATGCCCACCCCCAACCTCCTTTTATCACAACATTTTCAATTCGCGTCCAAATGGGCTCATCTTTTGCACATACCTTCTTCTATATCTAATGCCTCAATGTACCGAAGATCAGCTTCGTCAGGCTCTCGAGGACATCTCAAACGGCAAGAGTCAAAAGAGAGCCTCATTGGAGTATGGGATACCACGATCAACCCTCCAACTACGTCTCCAAGGTGGTCAGACTAGGAAAGTGGCTTTTGCTGACTGGCAGAGGCTGTCTCCTGACCAGGAGAGTAAGCTGGCACAATGGGTTCGCATTCAGGCTTCGCTGGGCCTCGCACCAACGCACCAACAGGTGAAGGAATTCGCAGAGCGAGTTCTGGCTGCTGCTGGGGATACCAAACCACTGGGAAAAGGCTGGATCTATGCCTTTGTGAGAAGGAACCCTATCATTAAGGTTCAGAGAAGTCGTTCTATCGATTCTAGACGCGTTAATGGGGCATCTACTGAGGTCATTAGGAACTGGTTTAAGTTCCTCGCTATCCCTGAGATCAAGGACATCAAACCAGCCAACAGATATAATATGGATGAGACTGGCATCCTCGAGGGTCAGGGAGCTAATGGGTTAGTGCTGGGTATGGCTGAGACGACGTCTGTTCGCAAGAAACAACCTGGGTCGAGGGCATGGTTCTCTATCATTGAGTGTATCTCAGCCTTGGGTAGGGCACTTCGTCCTCTTATCATTTTCAAGGGGAAGACAGTCCAACAGCAGTGGTTTCCATTACATCTCGTTCCATACGATGGGTGGGAGTTCACAGCAACAGATAATGGCTGGACTACAGACTTAACTGCCATTGAATGGTTAGAGAAGGTGTTCATCCCACAGACTATGCCTGAGGCTGAGGGGGAGGCTCGACTGCTGATTGTGGATGGGCATGGGAGTCATACGACGACAGACTTCATGTGGAATTGCTATATTAACAATATCCATTTACTGTTCTTACCACCACACTCCTCTTATGTCCTCCAGCCTCTTGACCAGTCTGTCTTCAGCCCTGTTAAGTCAGCCTATCGGAAGGAGCTCGGTTACTTGTCTCAATGGAACGACTCTACCATTATAGGTAAAAGGAACTTCCTGGACTGTTACCAGAAGGCTCGACTTGCTGGTCTATCAGTCTCGAACATCAGAAGTGGTTGGAAGTGGACTGGTCTACACCCTGTGGCGATGGTTAAGCCCCTGATGAACCCTATGGTGCTACCTGAGCCTCCTGCTAAGCCCACCACACCCAAACCAACTAGTCAGGGCAGAAAGCGATGCCATAATGGTCAACAAACTACCCCTGTTGAGCCATGGGATTCTGCCTCCTCTGCAGTGGTCTGGTCGACACCCAGGAAGCTGGCAGAGCTCAGCGGTCAACTGCACTTATACACCCAACTCGACAATGATACCAGCACTCAACGGCTGCTATTCAGGAAGGTGAAAAAAGGCTTCACAGAGCAGGCCTGGCAACTGGCAGCTGCCCAGCAGCAACTAGCTCACCTGAGGGCTCAAGTTACCAACGCTGCAGTGAGGAAGAGGAAGACTGTTCAAATCGATCCCAACACGAAGTTCGCGAACATCAGGGATATCCATCGGGCTCAAATCGAAGCGGGTGAAAAGGAGGTTATCACGGCTGAATCCAGCGACTCTGAATGCCCTAGTGAGGCTGGCAGCTGTATTGTAGTGGGTGTGGTTGAGGATCAATAGTTAATAGTAATGAGGAGGTCGGGTTGTGATCCCATCGTTTTTGTGGTGCCAGAAACAGGGGGGTGCCAGGAAGTGGGGGGTTTGACTTAATAGACTGAATTAATATGAAATATTCGTTACTTGCTTCTTCTCACAATGTCATGTACAACTCCATGATAATACCTTGATCACTTAAATACGAAAATGAGTTGGTCGTTAGCTTCTTTGAACCTGGTCTTGTGATGCGCCAAGGGGTGACGTCACGATAGCGCAAACTTGCCTCGTGGAGGTCGTCGATCTGTGGACCCTCGGATCCGGGTTGCCGCATGGATTGATGTCAGCCTCAATACATCTCGTGACTTCTATCACGCTTATTTCGTCCGTTTAAGAATATTCCATGAAACAAAATCGATCATACCGGCATATTATGATATTTATTCCGCCCAAATCTAGATGGTGAAAGTGTCGGATTGGAAGTCCAATTCGGCCGCGAGTAGGGGAAGAGCATGGGCCACCTCGAGGGGGTACACTTAGACCTCGACTACCCACCCAACCTCCGGTTGGAATCTCCCTTCTACTCCTCACGCAGAATCAATCAATACAGAGATATTGATACTTCGTCACCCCCAGGACCCTACGGTTCGAACCAAATTCCCTGTGAGAGGAATACCAACACTGATCAGTGGTTAAATTCCACTATCGCAGATCAGCAAGGCATCCCACGAAAGCAGAAGAGGCGACCCTCTAATACCGAACGGGATAGAGGAATCGTGCTCCCTTGACCTCTCGAATCTCACGAGAGGAGGCGTCCATCACGTCAGCAACGCCTTTGACGGTCGACCGGCCAGACGCCTCGAGCGCCCGACGACCGACGAAGGACCCTTTACTTATACCGACTTCATCGCGGGAAGACCGCGAATTTAAGTCTGTCAAGTACACCAACCGCGACCAGACCGCGCGACAATTATATCTATTTTCCGCAGCCTGCGACTTACGCCCGCGAGACAATATACCGACTATACCTTCCAACGCGTGAAGTACGAGCCCTTCGACCAAAGCACAAAAGGGCACCACGCGACCAAGGAAGAAGACCAAGATGGCGGCTGAGCCCGAGGAACCCACGGCAACGAGGCTAGGAGTAACGACGAGATCTAGCGCCCGTCAGCAAGGAGAGGCGGGATCGAGCCAGACCCCGTCTAATCAGGCCAGCGACGACAGTCTGCTGCTGCCACGCCCGATAAGCGGCTCGACCCCCAGTCCACCAAGATCAAACACACCGACTGTCTCTGATACGAGCACTAGCCAGGGTACGGTTATAAGCGAGTCAACCAGAATGGCGATGACTAGGGTACCCATACCTCTCAAGTGGCTAGACATCAACAATTCATACTGGGGAAAGTGGACCTTCAGACCATCGGATACACCAGATAACGAGCGGGTCGACGCTGCCCTCGTTTTCTTAATGGAAATCTACGCTAAGCAAGGACTCGAGGGGCAACCCCTGTTTTACCAGATTACCGATGATATCGGCCACTGGCCAGGCAAATGGTTTGCAAGCGCCAACGACGGTATCGTCAGAGAAGTCGTCAGATTCCTTCATGGCCGAGGCATATTACCAGATTCGTCAGCTACGAGAGAACCTCACGAGACCCTCGCAGCCACACTGTCGGCATCAGAATTTACGCCTTGGAACCAACAGCAAGTCGACCGCGCAATATACCGGCTTAGCGAGTTCAGGCAGCGCATTACCAAGCCAGAATTTCTCTTGATGATCACCAATGGCGCAATCGGCCCCTATATGAGACAAGCCAACAGCGGCCCACCTCCAGAAGTACGTCAAGCAACGGTTCCTCCAATTGCAATTACAAGCCCAAGGTTACCGTCGACATCGCAACCCATGGGCCAAAACGGTGATATGCGAATAGAACCACATTCAACTACACAGAGCCAACGATTCAACTCGACACCACGCGAATCACGCGAGGAGCAGGATCCAATCATCGCTAACCCACGGCAATTAACGGACCTCACGAAGATATTCCCAAAAGAGAAGAAGTATGCAGGGGGGAAGTACGAGGTCCTACAAGAGACCCTGACCATGTTCTACGACTACTGCGAGAAGGCAGGAATCAAGGAACACCAATACCACTCAGCTATCACGATTGTACTCACGGGTAAGGCAGAGGAATATTACTACCTCGCGGTGCGTACACTCGACAAATCAGACTTCCTCAGCGTTGTTGACGCAATCCGAAGCCGCTTCGAGACACACGATAGGAGCCTCGAGCTCCTCGCCGAGCTAAGGGCACTTTCATATGGATCTATCGCTCGCGGAATGGAGGGCAAGCCACGCGTTGAGATTCTCGAGGAGCTTATCGACAAGATCGACAAGTTGGCCAAGACCCAGCCAACGGAGGGAACCAACGAGAGAAAAGTCGGATATCTCTGTACAGCGGTACAGCGAGTCCCCGAGGCAAGGATGACTTTGCACGCACCGCCAACCGACTACGAGACCCTCTGCTCACGGCTGAGGTCGAGTTTCAACATCGAGGCCAGGATGCCCAGACAACAGCAATTCCGAGCAGTTGACGCACCATATCAACAACACTGGGTCGACCGTACATACAACGGCAAGGGAAAGGAAGCCAGATACGGCAACCGATCCAATGAGCAAGAGACACGAGGAGGATCAACAGCAGCCACAAGATTCAGGCCACGCGGAAATCAGCCTCGCGGAAAGTGCTGGGTCTGCAAGAAAGACGGCTGTTGGTCGACAAGCCATACCCAAGAGGAAAGGGATAAGTCGTACGAGAAATACAAGCAGACGAAAGGCACTGAGGGCAAGTCGAGCCCGGGCCAATTCCAGCAATTCCTCATCGACTACGAGGGAAAGGGCCCTTCCACACAAGGGGATCCTGATCACGAATCTGACATCGATGAGGACATCACTCCCTTCCTTAACAGAATCGACGATATCGTCGATAACGATTTCGACGACGTCGACGAGGTCCAACACGTCTTCTTCGCTCCCTCATCGTCAGGAGGATGTTCCACTCTGAATGACAGGCAAGCGGTCAATACCCTCAACGAGGAGGCATTCTTCCA